TCGCAGAAAAATACTGTCAATAAATAAAAAAAAAACAAAAAAACGCGCGTTTACAGTATTGCTTTACTCAACACGGGCCACGCTGCTCTTGAACGTATATTTCATCTTCTCACAAATTTCTGAAGTAAAGACAAAGGCACAGGAGCGTGAGCCTAGCTGGCTAGAATGCTTTTGTTTGTAGGAGAACTCGTGCATCCGAGGCACTTTCCAAAGCCACGCGCTCGTGCCCCTGTGTTTGTCTGCACTGCAGGTGTCTGTGAGATGGAGTGCGTCGGAATACGTGGGCCAAAACCACGGTGTGGCCAAAACTCACTGGATCCAAGAAAAGTAGCGCCAAGCTCCCCCGTATGGTTGCCATTTCGGTCCATGGAATGAGCAGTTTTCCCTTGACCTCTCCATTTTTGGTGAGTCGATCCAAATTCCCGATGACAGGTTGTTGTATAAAGATATTTCTTGAATACCGAGATTTCGATATCCACTCATGGGCGAAAGATGCGCACATCTTCGCACCGCCCCCATGATATGCGGCATCGGTTCTTGGCGGCATCGAAAACAATACCGTTGTAAGATCTGTGGAGATAGGCGTGACTAGGGTGCCTTCAATGAAGGCTCCCTAGGCATGACTGACAAGTTGATTGCGTGCACAGTGCCAAGGACGCTCACATTGGCGAGGGACATTTTCAGTAAGGTGAAGCTCCATAGCGAGCTTGGTGCGACCAGGTTCCGAACGAGCTTTTCGAAGCTTTGAATGAACCAAAATGGCGATTGCCATGGCGACGGAGACCGATCAGCCAATCACCTTGCCAGGTTTTATCTGTGTCCGGCTAGCAGGCAGGGAAGGCAATGGCGCTGCTTTCCCAGGATCCCGCCACTTTGACTGGGGAAGCTTCCTTAGCTCCATCAGCTGGCTTCTCAAGAGTGGCGCAGACACGAGCTTTTTGTCACCGCGTATTCGGCGTGCGATCACGCGCCGAACACTTCCCTTTAGCGATGGTGGTACAGCGGTTAGAGTGCCTTCATACACACGCGCGCTTTTGCTTGAGTGGTGACATCTCGGCCATTTTTCCGCCCAATCGTTTTTTTATGCATTTTGAAGTGCGCGCAAACCGGTGTCACTAAGCTCGAGCGCGTAGCCTTAACTAATGCATAGACGCCATTTTACCGCCCGAGTCACGCACCGAGTCCGCGAGAGCGTCACGCGCTGGAACATTCAGGGCAACAATGGATGTCTTCACCCTGAGACAGACAGACATGTAGGCACCCTAACAACGGTGCGAGAATCGCGCTCTCTATCGGCTTCAGAATGAAGGTGCTTGATTAGAGCTTCCTGACGTACAAGTACGAGGCAAGGTTCTTATATCGCTCGTATTTCACAAATGTAGAGTCACTTACGCGTCGCAGACCCACCGCTCTGCACTGCGCTGTTCTATGACGATCATCCAGATGACAGCCCCGTCTGGTTAGCGCCATCTTTCGAGCAGTACGCTCCTACCGGTTGTTTAATGCGTGCGAACGTGTCGAGAGTCTTAGCACTCCGGAACATATGGTTTGAAACCCGAGGATATTCAAAGCGGGGAAACGCGTCCAGAAAAAGTGGCATCATGAGAGAAGTCTCCCAAAAGTCGTGTCGTGTCGTTGCTCTCTTTTCCTCAGTGCGTGGGACAAATTTTCTCAGGCTCGCAACCGCCCTCGCGTCAATCATTACGTAGTGCCAACGTTTTCTGACGCGTTGAGCTAACCGCCTTCACTGCCCCCCCCCCCCCTTATTTTTTTTTTCCTTTAGACCTTGTTTGACTTTGTGTCGCGTTCTATAAGTGGCCCATTCTGTCAAGCCCCTCCAGCTTTATTTCCGTATTTGTAGTGAAAAATAAACGTATTCAAAGCCAGTGGCGTTCCTTTTCAAATTCATATTCTTTGTTTTTCTTCAAAAATGAAGAAGGGAGGGAGAAAAAAAAAAACCATAGTTTAAAAGCGAAGTAACTCTTTGTATTGGTTCTGCCGGAAATTGTGTAGTGTCCCGTCAATGGTGATTGACAAGCGGGTACAAACTTTTTTACAAATGTATTTTTTTTTGTATGTGTGTCAGTTGGTTGACCTTGGCAAGTGTGGTACTGCTGGAAATGTGTGTGTCCCGTCGATGGTAATTCACAAACCTCTTGCAAATGCGTTTTTTTAATTTTTTATTACTTGTTAGTTTGTTCACCTTGGCAATGTGGAAGTGTGAGCAGCTCGTTTGTTCGTCCTTGCTGACAAAACTGAGGGTGTGTGTGACTTGGTATGAAATTTCTTTGCGGTGATTACGGTGTACCCATATAAAAGGATGTTTATAATGAACCTTCAGCTGTGTTCGAGACGTTGTGTGAGTCGTCCTCTTTTTTGGTGTCCTCCCTTTCCTTCTTCCGGTGTCTCAGGTTTAGGTATGTTTGCGATTCACCAGCCTTCGCTGTACCTTTACTCTTCTCTCACATAGTAGTTGCTTGACAAAGCCCTAACTCCCCCAACAGGCGATCAGAAAAATAAGGAAACAGTCTAACAGAACCACAGACAAAAATATAAGAAAACAAATTAACATAGCACAAAAACCATACCTTCAGTTTACATTCAAGTATTTTCAACACTGACAGATAAATAGCGTACACATTATAACAGACGTAAAATAAGAACAAAAAAAAAATTGATACTAGCAGCATGCATTCAGTTTGCATTTGAGCATTTAAACACTGACGGGCACCTAAATAAGCATCGTGCGTATATTTTGTTCTAGTTGAACACATAATATATATATATATATATATATATATATATATATATATATATATTATATATATATATATATATATGTTCAGTATGGTCTAAAAGACTTAAAATATAGGGGAGTGTGTACCTTAGCATTTGAGTTCCGAAGTTTGTTTCGGTGTGCGGCACTGTTCATTTTTCTACACAGCGGATGTCATGAATCACTTATCTTCGCTCAAGGTTGGCCATTCTTGAATACGTATTTTAATTGTGTTGAAAAAAGTCTTCGTAGGAAAAGAGCAAGTTGGTATGAACGTCGGCAGAACAGGTCACCTATCGTCAGGAACGTGAGCTGTCAAAAAGGCACTGAGCTCGGCTGCGGGGGAACTCGACAACTGGAGCAAGGTGCGCAGATGCGTGACGCAACGGGTGGCCAACCGTGCCAAAACACACGGCATCCCTCCACTTTCCAAAGAGGAGGGGGGGGACGGCAAGCAGCAAGAGCCCCGAAAAACACGTGTCCCGTTTCCCAGTGGGTTCGCGCGGCGCACAGGCGAGAGGGACACACGAGCAGCGGCGAGCAGCTGCTGCACGCAGCACGATTCCGATAGACGCAAAGCGCACATGAAGGCTCCCTACCCTCCCCCCTCGCCCCGCAACGGAGCGGACTGACCCCATTCCAGGAGTTGCCATGCGAAAAACAAAGCGCGCACCCACACGGGGCCCCGTCGGCCGCCCAGCCGGGTTTGGGCCCAGTGGTGGCGACCCGAGGTTCGCGGGGCAACTCGGGCCGCGTATCACGAACCCGCCAGCCGCGGTTCCAATGACGCGCTCCGCAGTGCGCGCTTTTCATTCAACGAGCACGAAAAGGAGGCCAGTACTAGGGGTGCCAGGTGCTCGCAGATTAACCGGTGCACTTTTTGCGAGATGTGGTCCAAACCTTCATATAAGGTATTTGAAACATCTCTTGGGAACACTCAGGACATAATACACGTATTTACAAAAGATATAAAATAAAAAAAAAAAAAAATAAGTTCAAACATTCTTACAAAAACACGGGTGCATCACTGCGCTCAGTAGTGGCGGATTCGGGGGGGAGGGGTCCCTTTTCGATTCCGCATGTGTAAAATTTTAGGGTGAGGAAAAAGAGGGAGGGAGGAGGGGGGGTTCTCAAACATGCGCTGACCTGGTGTTGGCTGACCCCGACCACCCCTTGCTATTGGGATATTTTATTTTCCAACCCTCGAATTGATCGTCGTTTTCTACCTGGCTCAAAAATAACCAAGTGCTGTGAAATTGCTCGAATCTCGGCAATGAAATAGCTCAATAATAGCCCAATGCTGTGAAAACCACCAGATTTTCCCGCCATCCACAAAACTAAGCAGCCCACCGGCCAGTACCCGCGCGATAAGACGGGGTCCGTAGATGATTGCCAGGGACGGCGGGCGAGGCGCAAAACAGAAAACGCACGCTCCATCACAGGGCCAGATAATGACGGCCGAGAGCCTGCGCAGGATTGCGCTGCCAGCTACAGCGTCGGAACAAAGGCCAGCTTTAGCGGATTACGAGCAAAGTGCAAGCAGTCGATGTGCATAAAAGAAGGCGAAAAAGGGAGAGCAATCTAATCTCGAGAGTAGCGTCGACAACGCGAACAGACCACGGAAGATCACGTTCCCGACCAAGTGGGCAGGCGGCTCAGCTGGGTATCTGCACTCGCCCGCGCGCAGCGACTGACTGGAAGTAGGAACAACGCTAAACCAAAGCAGGGCCCGTCTGCCAAAACGCGCAACAGAACCACAAGCGCTCAGAAGGAAACTCCCAGAGGGCAGCCGTCGCTCCTCGGGCGGTTTGCCGCCTTTCTGCAAACGTAAACACACGGCGGCGGGTGTGCACCGCAGACGGTGCTGCAAGCTGAAGCGGTGCTTCGAAGCGTGCAGCGACGTTTGCGGTGCACCTACGGTTCTACATCACGTGCAATTAAAGCCCACCACCATCCGATAATTGCCAAACAATCGCTCGGAGACTCGTGCCTCGGAGTTCCGAATTCCAACCCAAATCATCATCATCATCCGTGTCAGAAAGGCGACGTGCAAGCGCAAAACTAGCGAAACTCACGTGCACCCGTGCAACGCGTTTCGGCGGCTTCAGCAACTTCACCTGCAGCCAGTCGGGTCAGCCCCCCAAGCTGGCATTCGGTGCGCGCCTCTGCGCCCGCATCGCGAATTTCGATCGGTCAGACGGAGGGGGCTCAGTGCACTACTCACAGAGAGCTCCGGGTGCTTGGGGTCCTTGTGCGACGCTGCACGGATTATCCCGGCCCTCCAATCCCACTCGGATACCTTGGAAAGTTTGCCTCGACCGCTCACACACAGAAATCGTTTGCCCACGATCTCTTCGCGGTGCTTGTAGGCCATTGCACATATCAAGTATCCATTCGGTGGCTGCACGAGCCGATGCCTCTTCGCACAGGGGAAACTGCTCGAATGCAGGAAAAAACACGACCACGTCTCCAAGCGCGAACGAATAATACGCGAGTTGAAAGGTCGCCACGTAACTGTTAGTACGCCTGCGCGACCTCCGGGAAGGCAAAAAGGAAAACAAAACAAAAATAAAGTGAGCCCACGTGACCTCGCCTGGCCAGTGGAGAGCAGCGCAGAGCATGGCCCAATGAGCATCCAGGGCGCGCAGAGCTCCGCCAATGGTGCCTGCGTCGCTTGAAACTGGCGCCTCGCGTTGCTTCGCGCCTCGTCCTCAGAGCCCCGTCACGTTCGAGTTCGGAACCTGCCGAGCAGCTACGGGCGACCCGGCTGGCTTCGCGATCAGCTGCCCCGGGCTTTGTAGTGTCGCGAGTGACGCGCAGCCTGGACGCCTGGCTTTGGTGGGGATGACCAGCTGACGCTTTCCAAGGACTCGCATCCCGAAAACAGAGGGACCATCCGAGAGTCATGATCTCCGGAATCATCTCGAGGCTCATTGTGTGAGTACCGAGCCTCTGCGCTATCCTCAACCGCGGTTACGGAACAAAGGCTTCCCATGTGTTCGCCTCTGTTGTCGTCGCTCCTGTCGACGTTGGGGACAACGGAGACTTCGCAACGTGCCCTTGGGCCCTCGAGTCGATGTTCGAGTTCGTGGCGATCTTGGCTACTTCAAAGAACGAAACGACCCAAGTGCGAGACGTTTCCGATGTCCGGGTGATATTCGTCCTTCTCTGTGTAACAACGTTTTGAAAGTGGCTGTCCGTTTTTCTTCCAAAAATCGTAGCTCGGCTGGATTTTTTTTTTTTTTTTATAATACAAATTGTGTAATATAATACTTCCCTTCTGCGTTTGTCCTGTCGCATTGTTTTTGTGTGCTGTAGTTTGCTGTACCTTCGGTGTTTGTCATGCTACACTGTTTTTGTGCACTGTTATATTTCGATCCATATGGCGTCGTCGTACCTGCTTTGCCCTTTGTCTGTTTTGCGCGTCTGTCTTTTGGCGGAGTTCCGTGGCGAAGCATCTCCTCAATCGCGTTACCATCTTGCGTTCTCCAAGCGAACGCAGATTTGTTTTGTTTCCAACCGGTGTCAACAACCAAGGGTGTGCGAGTTTCCGTCGCGTTGCATCTACTGCGCCACGAACGCTTCCTAGACCCGTCACATGCTGCTGTCAGCCGGCACATGTTGTCCTGAGATCTGTCTCTCGTCTCAATTGTTTCGCAGCTTTTTCAGTCCGCGCATTCATGTGCGACAGATTTAAAAAAAGAAAAGGAAAAAAAAAAAAAAGAAATGCGAGCAAAAAGTTCAAGGCTTCAGGTTGCCATTTCGCTACGGGTTTGCCTTGAAGGTCTTCGTAAATTTCCTTTTTTAGACGAACCCTGTCGACAGTCAGACCGGAACTATTTCAGTGGGTGGTCAGCGTTGTAAAAACGTGGGCGAGAGCGTTGCTCGCCTTCAAACTCTTCTGTGATTAGGAACTAAAATGGGAACTGAAAACCATTAAAGGGGTGATATGTTTTCGATAGCTGTAAACAGAACGGCATCTTCCTTTTTATCTTACGTTAACAAAAGCCCGAAACAGTGGGAACCATTCTATTATAGCCGTTTGGAACTGAAACGTCTTCCAAGTAGTTCAGTGAAGGGGCTCACATTTGTTCATCTGAGGTACAGCAAGAAAATGCGTATCATGTGCAGGCTTCCTAGCTAGAGTTTCTGGTGTTCTATACCCAAAGCACTGTGCATACATAATATTATTTCCAGGAATTAGTAAACATAAAGAGAGGCCCCGACCAGTTGACTGTTGGACATTTATTTTTGTTCTTCGTGGTTTCCTGTATATGTCAATACTACAAGGTTGATATTAATCTTGATGCTAGTCATGCCACGAGTGCTTTTCTCTGACACCTCAAGCGCTGAAGCGAGGGGAAACTGCACCTCTCTGTCTGTTAATATAAGATTTTCTTTAACCAAATATAATCTGGAGTGGCATCCATTCAGTCTCAGTGCACTACTCTGCACTGTTACACTGCATCACATCAGAATACTTGGTAAACACAAGTAAATCAACCAATAAACAAGGGGTGCCACTTTAACTGAGAGGCGGGAGACTTCCTCTTGCAGGTAATGCTGGAGAACAAAAAGCTGTATTCCTTGTCACGTGAAGGTCCATCAACTACATTGTAGTCAGTGCCAACTATTTTGTTCTATGCTCTCGAGGCTAGCGTAGCTTTCGAAGTGCTCCAACTCTGTCAATGTTGCGTGAGCGCATGGGAATCGGGCGCAAGACGAAGCCATGTGCTCTTGCAGCAGTATGGGGTTGTAGCAGCATTGTGGAAGCTACGCTAGCCTTGGCAATGGAGCACAAAATTGCTGACACTGAGTATAGGGCGTTGTAGAAAGAACCAGACATGGCAGATTTTTAAATATTTGTCTACTGTTGTGCGTGGAGAGAGTTATCTTAATTAACAAGATCCGACAAGGGCATGGTCATGAAGATGGGACTAGCGCTACTGAGGAAGTCCTCAATAAGCAGCTTTCTATGTTACATTTTTTTTTTTTTATATATACATGACAGCAATACAACATGCACCTCACAAGGCAATGGGCCGCTTTTGCGCCACATTCTTTATGATTGTACACGACCAACGGAATGAAGGAGCCCGAAAGTGAAACAATGCAAAATAGCAGAGATAGGGACTAAATATTTTACCAGTTCATAGTCAGTATACATCCCTCACCCAGCTTCAAACATAAACTACATCTATTTTTTGAGTAATTGATGAAAAACCACTACAATAAAGTACATCTTTTTTTATTTTGTGCAGCGGATCAATTTTAAATGACCAGTATTTAATTTCAGAACAGACCAGTAGATCTAACCCATCTTATTTAATTTGCGAAAATTGGTCTTGCATGGTAGAATCCTATAATTTACCCTGTAGATGTGGCTTGATGAACTTGTAGTAAGCACATATTCATGATTTTGGCTCATTAAGATGAGCCAAGACCAACAACAGTTTTTCTCCAAATTAAGCCAATTTCGCTTGAAAGTGACAAAGGTTGCTGTGGGTCACTGGAGCATTTAATTTCAGAAAACAAAAAATTAAAAAAAAAAAAAAAAGTTCTCTTTTTTTTTTTTAGTTGCTAAATAAAATGATTTGATGGATCAGCATATTTACATTTTTGCTTGATATTTATAATCATTGATAGAGGCAGTTGCACCTTAGATATTTCACAAAACAAATGCACTAATTAATTTTTATGAAAATTTAGTGTTGCTCATTAAGTGACTGATTTCTGCAATCTATTTAAATGGGAGTGTCTGACTGAGTGTGCTTAGACCTACTGCATGAAACCTTTTTCATTTCAAGTATGATAGGGTGAAGAAACACACGAAGGACTGTTTCAGCATTTATTTCCTAAATGAGATTACTTTTGTTGCAGGAATAGTGTCTAACGGCCATTTTTTCAGCATCCAAAACCTCCCAAAAATGAAGCAAATTTCATGGTTACGGTTACTGTATCCAAACCATTTTTTGTTTTTAGAAAAGGGTCCGTGTTTCTGTTATTGCCAGTATTTATTAGCCTCCATTATGCTTGCCCCTGCTTTATGTTTTTCTAACAAAGTGAACGCTATTATTGCTTTGAAAGAAGAGAAAGGTGGCTAATGAAATACTGCAAATTAAAACTTGCACTGCTGCTTGTTTTGCTTATGTATTGTAGCCCCGTAAGCCTTTGTTTCTGCCATTGTGTCATGCTTGCTCATGCATGAAGTGTTCCATTGACAGTGGTGAAGACAATGTACCTCCGTGTTACACAAAGATGAAGAGCAGGCAAATCTTTAAAGTCTAAAACATCAAAACTGGCACGACTACTTTTTTTTTTTTTTACATATATAATAATGATTTGTGCAAAAAATCAAGTCCCTTCTCTGCCGGTGATTCGGTTGCAATATATTTCGAGGTTCCCCCTGTGGAGCGAAGAAGCAACCGAGAAACGGACATTGCAGTCCCACATTGTCCCCTAGCCTCCATCTCCGTAAGGAGAACTGAAGAATACCTCTTGACTGGCGGGGAGTGGCATTGTTTGAACTGGGCCGAGCCCATCGGGGAGGGAGTGAATTGTGGTGTGGGGGTGAGCGAGGGGCATTCCTCCCCCCCAGCAGCTGCTGCCCTACGAGAGAGAACACCAGGCTCCCAGTTGGGAGAGGAAGCAGGTTTATTTTGGGGGGAAGGAGGGGGGGTTGGGGCAGGGGCTCAAGCCAAACTAGCTTGGCAACACTCATCACCTGATTCCCTCCAGGAAGCGACAGAACCTCTTTGCCAGCATGGCCTCCCAGGGTGAATTGCAGCGCGGAGTGTAGTGCTCCCGTGTGCCCCCCCTCCACCTCCCTGTGTGTCATGTTGCCCTATGCTGCCTTCTGGACCTAGCAGCTGCCCAGCAATGCGGCGACGCCAGCGGGCTGCCCCGCAGCCCCCCTCGCTGCTGCAGCTCACGCGTGGCAACCTCTGTGTTCTCTTGCTTTTCTCTTGTGCTAGCTTGCCGCAACTGGCTCACTGTTTCTATCGTCTCTTCAGCATGGTGTGCGGCATGCTGTATCCGGCGTACGCCTCCTACAAGGCAGTCAAGAACAAGGACGTTCGGGAATATGTGAGTGTGGGCACTGTGGGGATGGGACTTGCACACGTCTGCTCCCTTTGTGCTTGTGCTCGTCATTTCATTTTATATATTTTTTTTTTTTTTTCAGATGAAATGGATGATGTACTGGGTAGTTTTCGCACTCTTTACCTGTGTGGAAACCTTTGCAGACATCCTCATCTCTTGGTGAGTGTCTCTGTTGCACCTTCCTAGAAACATGCAATCATATTTCGCACCCTCTTTTTTTTTTTGTTGCAGTGATGGAAGTAATGCGCCGTTTGCACCAAATTGCGCCATAATCGAGTCTGCTACTTCTTGCGCCACAGTGCCATTTTTTGTTAGTGCCATTTTTTGCTAAGAATTGCACTACACCTGTGCCGAGATGGGTGAAGTAAAAAAAATATATATAGTCACCGACCGATTCTTCGGACGCCGATAGTTCGGACTCGTTCGATATTTCGGACCAAAAGGAGGAACCGTGATTTACCCGATAGAAATAGTGCATATTCACAACCAATGTTTCAGACAGCTTGAAGTCCGGAAGTTTGATTCTTCAGACAAAATCGTCATGAGCGATCTGCAGGAAAGACCACAGAGAAGCGGCCATTTTGGATTCTATGTTGGCTGCGCATCGATTGGCTTGGTTTGGCAGCTCTACTTAAATACTGCTAGGTGACGCTGTACAGATTTTTTGTTTTTTCTCTAGCTGTGCGTCATTATCATCATCATTGTTGTTTCCAGTTTGCATTGTTAATATGACACTGCAGTCATGTATTTGCGCCTCTCATCTCGATCTCGTCTCGGTGAATCGTGTTTTCGGACTACGCTGGCTTGGACATCGTTGCACCATCTGTTCTTCCGCCGCTGCAACATGTTGCTAAGATGCACAGAAAGTACTCGACCATAACGCTAGAAAAGAAGGCAGCGATTCTCAAGCTAAGCGAAAGTTGCCGAACGCAAAGAGGCGTAACCTAAAACAAGGCGTGCAAGCGTAACCTGAACCAAGGCACTATTTACGGAGCCCGTTTAGACGTAATAAAGGCAAGTTTTTAACTCTGCTGATTTTTCGGACTGGTGTATTATTTGGACGTTTTTTTGGTCCCCACGAAATCTGAAACATCGGTCGGCGACTGTAATATTGGTCGACTTTAATATTTAGAAAAGTAGGAGGAAAGAAAAATGGTACAAATATGTATTTCAGAGTGTCTCTCTTCACAGTATAGTTTTTTTAATCTTTGGTGAGAGTACAGTCAAAGGCTCGGAACACATGCAACCACAAACACATACTAAATGCGCAAGTCATGGGCGAATCACTGCACTTGATTTATTTAGTCAATGAAAGATCACGCACAGGAGATGGACAAATGCCTTGATGTCCCGCTTTGACGCTGGTTGGTCCTAGAGGCTCATAGCAGCGGCTGCGCTTTAGATTAGGGTGAAACGGAGTATTGTGATTGCTCGTCAACAACACTGGTTGGTCGATGCGCTGGCGGACTGATTGCCGACATCGTCTAAGTTTCCAGACAATGTCGGCGATTTGGGGAGCTAGAAGTTGCGAGAAAACATTACCAAATTGTAGGATGGCAGCTATTGTGATAAGGCAGAACCAGGGTCTTGTCGTGCTGATGAGATCACTTAATTTTATCATGTCTGCCGCATGCCTCTGTGCCGCCTCTTGCCAGCACGCACGTGCTGAGCTTCACCGCTTTGCACCAGAGTGCTAGGTGCAGTAGCTTACAAGGATGAGCACCCGAGTTAGTGCGATAGGCTCGATAATTATGCCGAGTACTATTCCAGGTCTACTTTTTTTTTTTTGTCTTGGTGGTAAGCAAATTTAAAAATCTGTGCCGAGAAAAAAGACGTGAACCTATATTTGAATAAATAGTAGTCAAGGTTGTTCCTATGCAGCTGTCGATCGAAAGTACAGTGAACTTTGACTTTAGTGTGGTTCTAACACTGCTCAGGAGCAGTGCCACTTGCACAAGTGTAATTTTTCATAATATTTTGGGGTGGTTGTTTTGGCAGTTCATAATATTAAAGTCTTGAGCTTGGTAGCTTCATAAAACTTGGGGGACGCATTTTTGTCGATAGACGAGATGGATTTTGCAGTCATTTTACGGAACTTCTACGTACAGGCTAAATAAACTCTTCCTGGTAAAAGTGCAAGGGGAGAGAAGCATTATCCAATTTGAGCTCTTGTGCTACGATTAATTTTTCATCAATTTTTTAGTACCCATTATAAATGGGCCTTCTCTGACTAAAGCCTTCTTTCTTAAACGAACGTCCCGTGTTCCTTTGGCACTCTATCTCTTATTACACAAGGTAACAAGTAATATGCTCCAATATCAAGGAGGAATCCCCAGTTATTATCGTTGATAAACTCAGTTAGTAATACGGTCACTTTTTCATCCTCAAGTGATGTGTTAACATGTTGGCGTCTGCTCCAGAAGGATCAGTGACTGCTCCAAACCAATGTTTTGCCTGCTTCAGAACCTGCTACAAAAGATCAAATGCCGCTTCCATGACTGTTGTTGCAGGCTTCCGTTCTACTACGAGATCAAGATACTCTTTGTCCTGTGGCTATTGTCTCCAGCAACAATGGGCTCGAGCATCCTTTACAGACGCTTCGTGCACCCACAGCTCATGCTACGGGAACCAGTGAGTTGCCTGGAAAAACTGTGGTTGATCGGTAACAAGGTGGACCGCTATCATTATGAGTTTGTGTCATTCATTTAATGGCAACGATTGGCACATTGAGCTGTTTATTTTATTTGGAATTCATAAGTCAGGTGATCAGGAATTACTGGCGCCCAAACTGCAATTACTCAAAAATTAGTCATGGCATTTTGGTCTGGGGAATGACAGCTGCTAACTATAATAAACTTATTCATTTGCCAAAGAAAATCTTACGGTTGTGTGACAGTTATAGACCGACACACTGTTTACAAACAAGCCCGCGTTTGCCCACACCAGGTGTGGACATTGCGCGAGCGTAGAAACCAGATTCGCGTGAGGTGGAGCTAGTGCGCATGCGCCGTGGCGACAACAGCGCCACCGCAGAGGCGTGACGTCACAGCCGCGTGTTGGTCTATAAAGGAAAAACCAGAAATTTAAGGATATAGCCACTCGTCCTCAAATATGATATGCTTAAGGCAGACCAACTACTATATTACTTCAAACTTTTACAATGGATACATTAAGATAGACTTTATACCACACCTACAAACAGCCTGAGTGCATACCCGATTAGAAACCCAAGGCGAAGGATGCCGGCCATAAGAACTAACTATGGTCAACAAACGTTTACTTTTCAATCAGCGAAAACTCTAAATAGAGTTAATTTGGACATACACTTCAATAAAACATTTTTTTAGTTTTAAAAATGATTATAGAAGGTTCCTGGTTAGTAGTGAACTTGCATTTTCATGTGGATCGTGTATTGCACTGACAATATAGTCACTTCACAGGGTGTTTTTGGAAACGCAGGCCAGATCGCTCCTGCGAAAACTATGCATTTTAGAAAAAAAAGGTTAATGCCATAGTGGTCTGTACAAAAGGGCCATTATCATTCAGTATATTTGAATTATCAGTTACGTTTAAGTAAATAAATTTTTAAGCAACGTATGTGCGCCGCCACACATCGCATGTTGAAAAGGTTAGATAAGAATGCCTCCAGACTGCCGCATGAGGTTTGCCTTAATGTCTGTGCCAGTGTGAAGATGCACCTTTACGTGCGATGCATGGCGGCACACACACATTTCGGCCCCCTCCCCCCCAAAAAATCTTTCATTTATCTGGGGCCTCCTCTCTCCCCTCCCCCTTATACAGCATTTTGTCATGGCCGGGCCACCCCCGAAACAAAATCCTGGCTACGTGCCTGGCTGTAAGAGACCTTTTGGGTCACCTTTTGTGATGGACATCTACTGCACGAGGAGGAGAGGGGCACTAGGCCCCCAGGCTTGTTCTTCATAATGGCAGTTCGCTGTCCTGGCAGCAGTGCAGGAAAAGCATGACTTTGGATGCAAGGAAAAGCAAGAAGAGATCACCCAGGTTAAAGTGTCCAGAATCAAAACTCCAGCCAATAGAAAAAAGAAAGGAAAAAAAAAAAAGAAAACATTGTTATCACACTTCATTGTTTTCTTTCTGCTGCTAAGTAAGACAGCTCTTATTCTGTGTGGTATTTTGTCCTCTTCTGATTTCAAAGTCTAACATACTTGTTACCTTCGAGTAGAGTCTGGGTATAACAACCTCTTGGAAAGTGATATAGAAGGATTGCTAACACACTTGTCACTTTGCTTCATGATACTTGCTGCTTCAATGATTTCTCTTGTGAGTGAGTGATGATTCTGGCTGATTACGGAGCAGTTTTTTAAGTTGGCTGAGTATCCACAGTCACGGCAGTGAATGCCTACAAGTCCTGAATTGGCTACTTGAACGTTGTTGTTATGTTCTCTTAGTCGGTTGTTAACACATCTTCCTCCGAGCATTCCTTAAACAAACCTAGGCAAAGTCCCGCTACACAGCCGGATTGTTACAGTAGGCTTGAGCAAATTTTCAGAAATTTTGGTTGTCGCTTTGAGTAATATACCATATGATTTGATCTCTGTATCACACAGTGACATTATTTAGAATTTCTGCAATATTTCACTTTGTCACTGTTGGTTCCGCAGGTTAGTGAAGTCCCTTGAGTGCACTTCTCAGTGTGCCCTGGTGTACTGCAGTGAAGCAACAACTGGAAGTAGTAATTGCGATTCTGCTTATCTTGCTTTTCTGCAGTGCTCCTGTGTGCTAAGGGGAAAAGCACCCCTCCATGTGGGGTGTTGCACTTGTAGGATTGGGTACATGAAGAATGGGAACTTGTTGTGTGTTGATATAACATTTCAACCTTCCATTAAAAATTTACCAATAAAACAACAGCCAGTATATGTGATTAACTGCAATATCCTAAAGAGCTTTTTTTTTTTCCATTTAAAATCTATCAAGGATACTTTGGCATCACGAAAAGATTTATATGGGCTGCACTATATGGTTATCTTTTATGTCAGTCGTCACATTTATATATGCTTTAACTGTTCAATGGCATGGTCAGTAGAGTAAATTAGAACTAAATTAGCTCGAGCAGTAGATGGAAGCTTGGTGATAACCTATAAACAAGCTTAATTTTTTTTTTTTTTTTAAAGAACATGTTTATGATTATAGATCTTATTATTCATATCCAAACTTTATTATCATGAAGCTCTTATATAGTGTCATTTATGTTCAGAATTAACCCCTTAATTGTTTTGGATAAGCTTAGCTCGTCAATGTGGAGCCGTCCCCAAAGTGTTGAGGACGAGTATAGCTCATCTGCTTTCCGTTCACGCACTCGACCGTTTTGGACGAACCAGGCTCGCTCATGGCTTAGTTTGTGGCTCTGCCAACAGATGTCTGCACTGAAATGTTTGAAATTTTTTTTTTTCCATTTCATTTGTGGCTAAAAATATGATATTGAAAGCAAAACATTTGATTTTGAAGACATCAGTTAAACAGTTGAGGGTCAGAAATTTGGTTAGGTTAAATGACGATAATTTTTTTTTTATCTGTTAATAAATTGTTTTATTTCAACCTTTAGAACTTACAAGACATCAGTTTTGGTACTCAAAGTTGTTCTATTCTAAAATTATTGTTGCGGAAAATACTACTACTTGGTTAACCTTCGATTCCATGCCTAAAATAACCATAGCACTGCAGTTCATATTGTCCGTCATCATTCAGCATTTTGTTGTTATGCAACTAAACAGCTAGCTGAGTGTTTAAGGGATCAAACCTGCCTTGCAATGGATGCTAACAAAAGATTGTACAAATTTGTAAAGGCAATGTATAAATTTTTTTTTAGTTGGACATGCTAACATACAAATCTTAACATAGTGTTCACAGTGGTACGGATAACAATGCAGTGAGTGGTTGTGCCCCAAAACATTCTTTTTGCTGCTCCAAAAGGTGCTTCAAATGATTTGGATCAGTAGGCATCCGGTGGTGTTTCACTTTTCTTCCACAGCGCATAACAATCGGTAAAAATAATTTGGGGGGGGGGGGGGGGGGGGGTGAAGAATTTTAATATGTTTGTAAGAATCTGCATGCATTGAGAGCAGAAGAGACAAAAAAAAGGAGAAATAAGTATAAAAGAGGAAAACCAGAAGCATGAAGGGGTCCACTGATGGTGAGCAGCAGCAGGGTAGTTGGCAAACCCCAGTGATTTAGTCATTTGCAACTCAAATCTTTTGTTGCCCAGTTTCATCCAAGTGATAACCTCTCCTCTCATTTCGGTTGCTATGATTGACCTCTTTAGAGATCTCTCATAAAGACATCATCAAGAGGCCCTAAGTGAGACTCTAGTTGGTTTGAAATTACTCCTTGTTCTATTGCATCCTTCGTGTGTTTATTAGGTGTTTGCTATCAATCTCGCACACTTTTTTTATTTTTTATTTTATTTAAGAATACTGTCAGCCTTCACTTGAAGGCTATTACAGGAGAGGTAACAACAATATATATAGTCATATCAAAAATTTGAACTCTATACATATGTACGTAATAGAAAAAGACTGTTATACAATTTTTAATTGAAGACAACGTGAACCATGTCGCCACACTTTGTAAAAAGAAGTGAAATAGAAAAAAAAGGAAAAACGCCCTTTTTATTTATTGCTGGGTAAATATCTTTTCTAAAGAAGACTCGAATTGGGACATATTTGCAGAATTAATGACATAATCTGGAAGTTGGTTCCAGTCTTCAATTGTTTGCACAAAGAATGAATATTTAAAAACGTCTATCCTACTATTATACGGTTGGATTGTTTTATTGTGATTTAATCTGCGCGATCGTTTATGTGTTTCATTTAAATATAGTTCTGCACTTGCATCATCTCTTATTGCATTTTACACATTAAAAATTTGCTAACAAGATGTGCTTTTGTCGTGGTGCACAAAGCTTGGTTCACACTTTTTTTTTTACAGCGGAGCTGTTAAAGGCAACTCCGCTCAATTCTGAAAAATTTAGGCTTACATGTGATTCAAATTCACAAAGCACTACTAAACAACTCTACGTCTTCGGATTCGCGAAACGTGGAATATTATTTGTGTAATCCTAATTTGAACATCAGCTCATATCGAAACCGAAACTTCGGCTGCGTCAGGCAACATTCGTCTCGGGTCGTCAGAGTCATGGCCACGTCACGTCGAACCACGTGGTCTTGTGACGTTCAAGAGGGAGCGAGAAACAGGACACGCAACGTTTAGGCAGGTCGCTTCGCATGGCGTGGGCGGTGATGGCCCGGGGGAGAGGGGGAAGGGGAGAAGATGAAAGAGGAGAAGGGGAGCGGAGAAACAGACCGATAAGCGCACAGGGCAGCGCAAACTAGTGAATCCATGTTACGGTGATCATGTGAACGCCCGGTCAGCCAACACCGGGAGGAGAAACTCATGACGTCATCATTCGATTTCGCTCTAAGAAGTAAAAACAAACAAAACGTGAGAATGACGTAGTCATGCCTCTGATGTAGTGGCTCAATGTCGGCTGCTCCAACTCCGTGGCATTGACTGCGCTGATGATTGCACCTCGCGCCGCACGCTAGAGTTGGCAGATTTCGGCGACTTGGCTCGCTTGAAGGTTTGCTGGCCAGTTTATTAAATATATAGACGGAATTAGATCAAAATATTTGACATGGGGTCTTCCTATATGATACTGAAGAGGGCTAAATAGTTTTCTAAATATCAAAAATGAAGCGGGGTTGCCTTTTAAGGGCTAGGTTCCCCAAAATCGTGTCCGGTACTAAAATCTTGTCGACACAAACCTCCACAAACTTCTGGATAAGCGACGGCGGCAAGCACGCAACCAGTCTGGTTTCCGCCATCGCTCGTAGATGGCGCCAACCTTTCCAGCTATCATAGAAGAATAGATAGTTAAGCGAGTTGGTGGGAATTCATCGTAGGAAACAGCGCGCAAAACAGACGAGGACGAAGAAGAAACACGCGTGACGAGCGCATCGCTCGTCACGTGTGTTTCTTCGTCTTCGTCTGTTTTGCGTGCTGTTTCCTACGCTCTTGTCAGTTTCGGTTTAGACTCAGGATGGGCTGTGCGCGTGCCCTTTCGGGGAAAGAAGACTGGGTGCGGCAAGAGCGGCGACGTACGCAGCAGTGCTAATGGGTTCACAACCGACGTGAAGCCTCTGTCGCCTCGACTTCCACTGTGTCCATCGCTTCAGACTCCCTTGCAAAAGAAGAGCACATCGCTTGCGTGGAAAGCTACCAGCGATGTAAACGGCGCCGGCGCAAGGCCCGGCGACGACAGCACTCCACGCCGGCTTAACGGTTCCCGGCTGTGACGGCGAGGTTCCGGAGGCAGTTGTGGAGAACCCGTTTGGCGTCACGTGCGCCGTGTGTGACCGACTCTGGTTTGCCAGAGACTTATCCTCGATCGGCGGCGTGTCGGACAAGAAGAAACGGGCGCGTGCGCGTTGCGCAGTGTATCGAGTCGGCGGACGTCTACATAGAACCGGCTTGTAGAACGTGCAGAAATTCCCTGCTCAAAGGCGCGGTGCCCCGGTTCGCGACCATGAACGGCTACAAGTACCCACCCGTATTGCAGCACCTACCGAGGTTGAACGTCGTGGAGGAACAACTAGTGGCGCCTCCATTCCTGCTCATGAGCCTTCAGTGGTTGACGTGGTATAACAAAGACAACCGGGGATAATACGGTTCTCACATAACCAATTACCCAATCACACCTTAATCCTTACATTTATAAATACTTAATTTCCAACATAGTACAGCTTCGCTCTTCACGAAAGTGGAAAGGCTGAATGTTTTTTTGTTTTTTTTTCTGTCTTCGGCATTGAATGTCGTCATATGCTACGGCCAAAGTTTTTGCCGTTCTTGACGCGCGGTTCTTTCTCCAGGAGATCGACGAAATGATTGCCAGGGCCAGGGACCAAGGCTACACTGCGGTCCTGCAGCTTGGAAGCAGAGGCCTCAGCTATGCCGCTAACGTTGTGGTGCAAACCGCAATCAAGGTGAGCTATCCGCGCAACTCATTTCTACTCCCTCTGCCTGGCATGCAGTACTGGCCTCTGCCCCTCTGCTCATCACGCCACTTCTAGTCTCTGTGCACTGCTTTTGAGCGTCTTGGCACTTTCCCTCCTTGGCCAAGCTTGCCTTTGCACTGCTGGGACCCTGCACTGCTTCTGTTGGGGGTTAATCGGCTGCGCAACAGCCGAGCTCCAAGTGGGATACGTGGCACTCGCAACTAAACGCAGGGGTTGTCATCTGCTTTGATTCAGGGTGCCGAGGTGCTTCCCCAGGCAGAGCCAAGCCACACTTTGCCAGAGCCAGCTGCTAATGAGTCTAACGACAGACGAGGCACACACCATGAGCAGTTGTGAATTTTTATGTGCGGTGCCACTTTGTGGGGTTTTGTATCTCCCTGATCTCCTTTTGTTTTGCCTCTTAAATAAATGTGCCATTTTTGTTCGGTTGCACAGCTTCTTCTTTGTTGCTAACAGGATTTGTCTTGGTTCGGTTTTTGAGTTGTTTATAACCTTTGTTTTTGCTTTCCTCGATTGCACCATGCGCATTTGGTGATGGATGCTGTATGCTTTCGCCCTAATAATAGTGCCATTCAGCTGTACTCACTGTAGCAGCATTGGCTCTACTGCCTTGGCGTTTTTCATTAGTAGTGAATGTAGCAGGGGCACCGTGCACGAGTCCTTGTGCTGACAGGACTTCTGGTGTATGTATATGTGCCAGTATTCCCTGCTGCTGTTTTTGCTTTGTATTTTCTCCAAGCTTTTCTTTCGCTGGCATACTGTACTACACAACTATGACTTCTTAAAGCAGAGGTTACTAGTGCCACTATACAGCCAACAGAGCAAGTGCCGGAATGTTTGGAGTGGTCGACGATGATTACATGGTTTCCTTTCTCGTGAAGTTTGAGATCCGCTTGCTATACTCTGTTCACCCCTAAGCTTGACGGTGTGATAGAAGATACATACTCGTTGAGCCAGTCTGACGTCCATCTTTTGTCGCTCGCTCAAGCTCCCACCCATATCCGCGTGCAGAGACTAGGGTCAGGTGATGAAAGGGATGCGGTTGATTGGTACGGTGAGCACGTACCTCCCGCTACACTGTTAGTTCTAGGTGCGAACAGAGTATAGGAGTCTTGCAATGGGAGAATGTGTGAAGATTCGTCGGAACGTCAAAAGAATGGTTAATTGAAAATGGGAAGCGTCCTGTATGCTTCTCTTGATTGTCCGTACTTGAAGTTGGTAGAACAAAAACACCTAGAAAAATGTTTGGCAGGAATTGGGAAGTTGGTAAAACGAAAACACTTAGAAAAATGTTTGGCAGGGATCGGGTAGCCACTAAAGGCTTGCATGGTAAAATCTGGGCGTCTGAGTGATGTGAGAAAGAAGTGTGCCGGACTAGTTTGAAGGTGGTTACACAGACAGTTGAAGCTGGTTACACTAATGCAACGTAATCGCTGCTGCTCGGTACACTTTTAAATCGAGATGAGGATTCTGAGCCTTTTCGATTCTTCAAAACTAATGGATATGTTTTTTTTAAAGTGTACACATGATGTTACAAATAGCTTTCATATCGTACATTGTTCAGGAAGCAAGCAAATTGTGACTTTGTGGTCCTCCATGCATTCGTGAGTGGAGTTGTAAAGGCGCATTCATATCTGCGACGAGCAGTCGCGCAACCGTGTAGCGGCTAGCGACCACCGTCACTACTCTGCGCACGATTGGCGAGTCCTTACCGTTAGTCACTTCTCGGGAGCTGCTGTTGATCCCGTCGCTCCTGCCATAGCTGCTTTCCCATTTTTGTCGTCATACAGTTACACATGCGTCACTTTCACCACAAAAGGAAAACTCGTGATATTGGCCTAGGTCCTTTGAAACCGTAGAAGGAAAGCCCAATCGCTACATTGACGTGCACCCTTTAGAGCTTCCGTGGAGTGTACTAGACAAGTCAAAGGTGGCACAGATTTGCTGCCATGCCGAGTTCTTTTATGGGCACTTGATCAGATTGGGGTGCTGCTTGCTATAAAGAAATGGGTGCTCTTGAGTAGCGTTGATCAGAGCCTTCGCGGAAACCTTTATTCTTGCTACCGCAAACCAATGTGTTGGGCAGACCTCTTGGTTGCATCTTTTGTAGAAATATGTAAACGTCGATGTAAGTAAACTCAATGCGCCGCTGATTTGCTCGGCAACTCGGCGACTGGTCTGAAAGATTGGCCCGGGAGCGACTGCTTCGAACCAGTCATTTTTGCGACTGCAACTGTTGCTCCGTGATCCAAAGGATGTCGTGCAACTGCTGCGACTCACATATGTGAATGCACCTTAACTGTGGTTACATTCGTCACTAGTCGCTGATGAGAGATGGCGCTTGAGTTTGCGTTGTTCTGCTTCTTTCGGGAGCATATACAGTGCTCCTAGAGGTTGTTTGTATTTAATGTGCAGTCAGTCACACCTGTGATATGCAAATCACTGTAAACAAGCTAAGCTTTGTGTGCTCAATATTTTTCAAATTGCAACCCAACTGTGCCTTTTGGAGTATGCTATGGGTAAGTTTTATGAAAGGAGAGACACAAACTGAAATTAAGGGAAGATGCAAGATGAAAAACGTCAGTTTTTTTTTTTTTTTCTAAAATGTGAGTGGGTTTTAGGGTGTTTTATCTTCCCTAAACCTTCACATTTTATGTATAAAAAAAATAAAAGAACCTGCACTGATTATGTTTGCGAATTTAGTAAAATACACATTTTAAGGACACCCGACGACCCAAAAAGGCGTAAGTAAATTTGAGCCATTTTCATATGTGCTGTTCTTCAAATTCTGGTGTCGCCCGCCATCACATTTATTTTGAGAAGTAAGCCTAGCTGTCTCTACTCCCTTGCATTCTTCAGTAGCTTCAGTTTCTCTTAGAAAAAAAAAATATCAAAAATTATTTTTTCCTGCTGCAAAAGAGTGTCACTACACATCTGTGGTAATATTTGAATGTGTTTTTATCCTTGCTTTTGGAGCTCTTATACAGATTCTGCAAGCGAGTTTTTGCTCTTAATATTGTCCTACCACAACCAAAACACACACATATATATATATATATATATATATAAAGAAAATTTAAATAAAGTTTTTTAGCCCTTTGAAAAAGGCATTTTTGTGATTTCCAATTATTTTAAAGTAGAGGTCTCACACACTATTTTTTTTTTATTATCATTGCACTCAGTTGTTTACAAAGAGCGACTTAGCTCATTTTGCTCTTTTATGTTTGTTGCCTTGTGCCACAGCCACACAAAAACATGTTTTTTGGTTTTTTTTTTTTTTGCATGTGCATTGCATTTAGAGCAAAGAAGAGGCCATATCAAAACTCCAGATTTACGAAAAGGAGATGATGCACAACAGAAAATTTCATTCAGTTATTTTAAATAATGAAACTTTTCCTGTGGCACACATCCGTTTATTTACGGTTCAGTTATAGTTACCGTTATATTTATAAAATAAGTTTTGTTTAGGCTTTTTGAAGTTCCGGTTTTCGTAGTTTGGTTACCAGTTAAGCGTTCGTCAAAACCACTTTGTTTTTCTCCTGTTTGAAAAGCTGAAATACAGATATTACGATGTTGCTGGGTGCAGAAATGGTGTTACTCTGACTTTAAGCCATCTTTTTTTTTAGAGGGGTTTGATTTTGAAGCTAGATATTTGTTTCATAATAAATGTTATTACATAGCCCCAATATTGAACAATATGTCGGCAGACTGAAATTAATCGGAGCTACTCACAGTTACAAGAACTCGAAAATGTGTTTGCCTCTTCTTACTGGTCGGGAGTCTATTTATTTACAATGTTCTTTTTAAAGGAATTAAGGTATGCCAAAAATGAAATGAAAGATAACTATAGTGCTATAACCCACTGGACGTTACTATATTTGTACTAAATGTGCTTCACACACAATGCGTTAGTTTCGTGGATCAATTTAATTCAATCGTGGGACCCTTGGATCTGTCTGTCCAGGAAGGCCGCCATGTTTAAAGGGTCAGTGACTTACACTGCCCACTGCTTCAGCTTCCTCGTGCTTCAGCTTTCTCATTTACCTTCCGCATTTCGAGACAACGACCTTTATGTTAAAGGCTGATCGCTCACCTCGTCAGAGTCGTCTTGCTACGATGCGTCTGACTCTGACTGCAGCAGTGATGAGAGTGATTGTTATTAAGAGATGTTGGGAGCTGGTCATTTTGTCTCGGACCTGCTGGCGACCCAGCTCCAGTGACAGCAATGAGATTGTTGCTGACAAACTCTTTGTCCGCGATTACCTTATCGTCAAAACATCAGGCTTGGCCGTGAAATTGTCCGCACGCAAAACCTTTGTTTTCAGGCATTACATCTGACATTAGGTTTCCATGCCTCTCGTCATGTAGGATTCTCTTTGGGTATCTAAAGAAAACCGGTGGCTGCTTCTTGTGTTTGTTCAGACATCCTACCACATAGTAGACTTCGCGCGACAATTAGGACTGCTTCACGTTGGGAGCTACGCAAGCGTTCTTGATGGCTAAAGGGCCCAACCGTGCGATCGTAGATCGGCGAGCGCAATGCAAGAGCTAACACAATGTCGCTAGTGACTCTTTCGAACACTAAAGCTTACGTGAAATGAAGGTTTTGTTAAGAAATTATTACTAATCTTCTATTAGCGTCTATATCCAAATATAATATTCATGTCTTTATCAAATAAAGTGCTTATTTATGCTTCTTTTATAGATGAATGAGTGATAGGTTACTGACGGTCATGCCGATCCGATTGGAGTCGAGTGCCAAGCATCGGGAATGACAACAACCACGGCTCTTCTGTTGTGTCGTTGTGATCCGTCTTTTTTTTTTTTCTCTTGCTCTCTGGTCACCAGAAGATAAACGCTGCAGAATTTTCTTGGATCCGCCTGCTCGCTCGCTTCTTTGGTTGGTCCTGTTTTCTCGACGAAAACGGCCAGGCATGAGGTCGCATTTTTCGCTCACAGCACGGGCAGCAAAGTTTTTTTCCTCATGGTCGTATTTAGTGTGTCTATGATAAATCGCTACCTGTCGCATCCTGGAACGAATTAGTCGCGGCTACTTCTCGCAGCAGCAAGATATCATCCATTCCTGAGAAGCGCGACTGCAAAGCGGACGCATTCGGCGTGATGGACATCTCGAATTGCATGCATCCCTGTCGCCGGCTCTTACTGGTCTCGCAGACTCATTCTCATGAGACCCATGCTGCGCTACACTTCTCGCAATTTTCTTAAAATGGCGCATTTTTGCCAGCTCTTCGCTAGCAGGAGCTCTCCCCAGCTTTGCCAGCTCTCCCACAGCTTCGCTAGTGGGAGAGCCAAAATAATCAACCAAAACTCTCTACTTTCAAATAATGAACTTCCTAATTGCTAAATTAAAAGGAATGGTTTTAATTAAAAACTTGCTGGGCATCATTGAAAACAATTATTAGTTAACTCATTTTAGAAAGATGTAAGGCACATGCAGCATTTTACAGCATTCCAAAAGATTGCTCAATTTGGATGAGTTTTTATGCTCCGTTTCACAATAACTTGGCGAATTGTGGAGGCTGCGGCCACCGCGACCCAATAAAAGGGATACTGGGGCCTCATTACCGCCACAGCAACAAAGCCCTTCACAAAAAAAAACTTAGTTCTAGGCTTCTTTTTTTTTTTAAACGGCAATTGAAGTTGCACAGTTCCATCTATAACAGGAAGATATGAAGAATAAATAATCCCAAACTTATGAATGTCAATTATATTTAAACCAAAAAAGTTACACCACATCCGTATCCGCTTGCATTTGTTCACCCTGTAGCGCCGTGGCCGTTCCCGGTCGCAGCCGTGTAATCTGCTGTTTCCACTCAAAACGCCGCACTGTGCCCTGGCGTTAGCACCCTTCACAGATTTGCAGCTAAATTGAGCGTATGGTGGTTTCATGAACTGTTCCAGAGGTACTCGCTACTCTAACAAATGGATATGTTGCTGCGGTGGACGTTTATCTAAAGTTGGTTGGTTTCGGAGCAGACGACTCTTGGCTAGCAGATGACAGCCAGTTCCTCCGGGCCTCGCGCCTCGCATTGGGTGTGGTGACACAAATGCTGCTGTGACGTCGGATCACGTGCCTCGCTCTGACGCTCTTATTGGGTCGTGGGGCCCTAGCCTCCACAGTTCGCCAAGTTATTGTGAAACTGAGTATAGGTTTCGATTTTCTATTGGAGTGCATCTTTGAGCCTGTGACTGAGGCGTGCAATGCTTGCAAGCTATACTTCACTCCTACGAGAGAAGCAAGGCCAATGTTGGGCAAGACTGACCGGGTTTCGTGGGCTCGTCGTTCTGTTTTCATTTTTCATTCGTTTGTGTGACGATCGGGACGTTAAGTGAAGTGTTACAAATGCAAACATTGCCTTCTATGTATTTTTGCTGGTGCAGGCAAACAACAAACTGACGCCATATCCATCGATTTCTCAAGAGCATTTAATAGGGTACCTCATCAATGCCTCATTAAAAAGCTATTTTACCTTAAACTTTCTCCAAACACAATAGACTGGATCGGAGAGTTCCTCACAAATCGCACGCATTGTACAGTCGTCAATAACAAAATGTTATGCCGGTCCTTCATCACCTCAGGCGTCCCACATCAAATTGTAGTAGGCCCATTATTGCTATTAGCATACATCAATGACTTAACAAAGCTTCTATTATCCCCCGTGCGTCTCTTCGCAGACGACTGTGTCATTTACAGAGCCATCAAAACACCAGATGACCATAGAATACTTCAAAATGACCTCAATATAATTGAACAGTGGTGTAACAATTGGCAGATAAGCCTAAACATGAAAAAGTACAAGTTACTAACATTCCCTCGTTGAACCACCTCGTCTAAATTTTCTTAGCAACTAGGTATCAATAACGTATGCCACTGCACATCATATAAGTACCTAGGACTTCACCTCACCAGCGATCTCACATGGAACAACCACGTAAACGAAGTTGTCCTAAAAGCTAACCGCACACTTCGATACTTAAAACCAACCTCGGACTGTTCGCCCGAAATCAAAAAGCTAGCCTACACAACCCTGGTTCGTTCCCAACTGGAATACATATCATCGATTTGGTCACCATTTCAAAATGATCTCTAACGAACTTGAAAAAATTCAAAACAGCACTAAGGTACATTCACTCCGATTAATCCTCCTGTACTAGTATCACTTCACTTCGTAATCGGTCTGATCTCCAAACATTTTCTTTTCGTCGGAGGCTCTCCCGACTTGCCCTTCTTCATAAAATATATTATCACAATCCGCAGATGAAAATGGTCCTTCTCAGCGTCTCAAATCGAATTTCCGCTAGGGTTGACGATGTATGTAAAATCAAATTCATCCGCACAACGAAAAGTATGAGTTTGAGAGTTTCACTCTCTAACTCATACTTTTCGTTTGAGAGTGAAACAAGAGCGCACTGAGAAATCAATGAATGGACAAAAATCTTCATAATATAAAATGTATGTAGGGCATGGATTTGGGCTAGGTCGTTCATTGTGAACTTCAGCAATAACCCGTGCAAAAATGTTGGCAGAAAAAGTGAAGAACAGGAGACAAAGTGCTGGTGTGTGTAGCTACAACCATGTTCGTGATGCATCTGAAACTACTTGAAGCCATTGGTATGTATACAAAAAATGCCACCTTTCTCTGCTTACAAGCAATGGAAAGAAAGTAATTTATTTCACAAATTTCAAATAATGAGAGTGGGAGAAAGAGATAATAGATGTATTTTAGAGATTCAAAATATGAATCCTGTATAGTTAACAAAGATCCTCAAAATGGAAGAAAATGTTGCCAAACGATTGAGTAACTAGCCAACACCTCTGTTGCATGGAAAGATGTGACACAATACAGAGTACCTGAGTAGTCCACATAGTTTAAAGTGGTGAATGGGCTTGGACATCTTGAAAATTAAGACAGCCATCAACGAAAGCAGATATTTCTGCAAGCTTTGAAATACACTCCAAAACATTTTGAGTTTCTAGGTGCCAGTCAAAACTAAAAATAAGAATTTCAGAAGAAGATAAGCCTCTAAAAGCACCCTCCCAATTTCTGATGTATAAACTCCAAAAAAGCAGAACATTAGATATGCTACCTAGCATACCCAAACTGTAACAAAACTATGTTGGAGTGTTGAAAAGTTTGTTGGAAGATTGTAGTGCACCTAGGGATGGTATATGATAACATACTGCAGGGGCAAAGCCAAAGGGGGTAGCTTTTAGGGCTTTAGCCCCTTCCAAGATGTAGTTGACTAAGGCCCTAATGCATGGTACAATTCTTCATTCCACCCCTCCCCCACTTCCCCTCTAAACATTTCTGGTTATGCCACTGATAGACTGGTAACACTGCGCACTTCTGAGGAAATAAAGAGAACTTCAACAGAAGTCGGAAAGTGGCAAGGGTGAATTTGGGATGAAGCTTTAATTAAGAAGACTTGGTCCAAGTGAGTAGCCTATATAAGTTTCTACAAACTGAACACTTAGTACTATGAAAAAGTGGTGACGAAAAGCTTGATATACCCCTTTTTCTGATATATATATATGTATATATATATATATTGCAATGTTAGGTTACAATTTAAAGAGAAAAAGACCACACACAATCATAACTTCTTTTTATTTCCTTGGATGCTTGGGGCTGAGTTATTGCCATAAAAAGACAAATTCAAAATCAATTTTTCAGTGCTGAAAATCTTTTACTTTTTTGCACTTGTTGGTTGAAGGGGAAAGAAGCTCCTTGAGGGAACTGATAATACATAATGCAGTGCTTCCAAATTCTGCTATCCTGCATCCCATCAAAAACATAAAATATCTCCTCCCCCCAGCTTTTTACAAAGCCAGAAGCTTTTCGATTTCAGTGCATGAGCAGTAATACATAAAACTGATGCTGAAATTTTATTGGAAATGAATTAGCTGGGCTAGAAACCACCACAAAAACAAAAAAAATGCATGCTAGCAGGAATAACTGTTCCTAATGACTAAAGCAAGCTCATTTGTGAGTGCACAGTTTCTCAAAATGAGGCGGAGTTTGGACATTGAAACGCTCGGTTCGTTGTTGAGCTGCGACCTGTACTTTATTTTCATTGACGCCGCCACAAAGAAGCCAACAAGTCGTTTCGTGACCCCCTGCTAAATCTGTTGTGGCCCACCATTCAACAAATATTGACATAATGGATCGGCAACAATCGTTTGAACTCAATGGAACGTCTCTGATTTTACTTCCTTGCCTGTAGATATACGGAAAGAGGAAAGTACCTCTCTCATATTGCAAATTGAGAGAGGTAACCAACCCAACAGGCTCTCAACTTTTCTTGCTGACATTACTCAAAATTTTGTCAGTAAGTCTCCGGCAATTTAGTGCCATAAAATAGCAACAAGCTCAAACATGGTTTCCAGTAGATGGTACTGCTGATGCCTCGCCATTTACCCCGCCATCCTCCATTCACCCCTAAGCTGACAGTGCGGTAGAAGCTAAGTGCTCATTTGATCAGTCGTGCGCCTACATTTCGTCGTGATCACGCTCTGCCCATGCCTACACGCAGAGAGCAGGGTCAGATGATGAAAGGGAGACGTTTTACTGATCCGGCGTGCGCACAACTCCCACCACACTGTCAGCTTGGGGCTGAACAGAGTATGGGCATTTCTCCCATGTCTTTGGGTAGTGTTGACTGACTGTTTCTTTACTGGGACAGGAACCGAAGTAGTTTGAAGCAAAACTAGTTCGGCCTGCCCAGAAAATATCAGATTCCAGAAAGCCAAAACGTTCGCAGCATGTGTCGGATTTGCTGACATTGTGCTCACTCTCGTTCCTAGGGGCACCAGGTAGTCACAAACCACGTCCTGAGAGAGCTTGCTGTGCAGCAAATGGCTGGACAGATCACACAGGCAGAAGGATACGGAGGAGGTCAGTTCGATGCACAGCTTCAGTCTTTTCACATTTCTGCTTGGCGCTTTTCTTGGCTGAAATCCCATACGTAAGGTTACAACTAATGTGATGTGAATCGTCTATTTAACCTTGTGCCTTTTTACTTTACTTTCTGTTACAACACTAAGAAAGGAAGCCAGTTTAATGTAAGAAATTTCGGTTGCTAATATTGCCCATAGCATTCTCGTCACACTGTTACTGACACAATCATCAGCCAATATAAAATTCTTGAGGACAAGCATGATGCTCCCCCCCCCCCCCCCCCCCCATTTTTTTTTTTTTTCTTACAAAATGAAAGTTAGCATTGTTGAATGCTCAGTCTCTGCCCAGATGTAGTGCTTATGGTCTGAACCAGACGCCAAAGTTTCAGAACTAACCGTGACCTTATTCTAAAAGTTATAAGTGATTTTCAGAAACTTTCAAATAGAAAATGGGGCCGTTCTCGGTAGCTTACGTCATTCAGCTCTATGTATTCATGGGCGCTGCCGGCCACACAGGGATACTGAGCTTTCGACAACGCATAGTGTTTTTTTGCTATTAAAAAACTTGTAAAATACCGCGGAAGCACCCACGTCGTACAAACGCCCACTATTAACATTTCCCAAACTTGGGAATCCTGAAAATTATATACGTCAAGCGCTCACCCCCTCCAAAGTGCCGGCATCAGCCCAAAATGGTCACCCCGTTGCAGCGGGCACAAGACCGCCAGCGGCGATGACGGGGATATCATGTGCAAATAAATGTGCTTTGTCTGATTCGGTTAGCCCTACTTTCTAAGCTCTCTATTGGCCGCCATCTTGGTTTTTACCGATTTGACTGGACAAATGCCCAGGTCTAGATTACCTCAGTTTTTAGTGAAAGTGGGCTGGGCACTACCCCGGTATTTTACGGTGCATTTTTTTTTTCGGGGGCATCCTGTAGGATTCATTTCAGTGCTTATGGATGCTTAAAAGAGAAAATAGAGCGGTTTTGAATTTGAGAAAAAAAGAACTTGAATTGCATTCATTTGGCATTTAGAATAACCAATATCAAATATTTTTCAATTTTACATGCCGGAAAGCCATAAAAGTGATTTCAAAATGGGGCTGAAGCCGCCTTCTTGGCTCTGGGAAGCTGAACGTTCTGTCGATGACATCACGAGCAGTGCCAGGTTTTTTGTGGTTTCTCGCGTTTATCAGTACTTTTGCAGCAAATGGTTCGAATATTCGGGTTCATGGGGAAAAAATATGCTGGAATTTACCCCTAATTTTTTTCAAGAACCTCCATAGCTTCCCTTTAACATTTAGTGATCCACATTTTTAGCCTAGTATGGGGTTTTGAAATTTCAGCAAAAAAAAAAACATTTGCAATTCAAGCAGTGTTGTAGCAGACTTCAAATCCTTTCTAACTAGCATGCACTGTTAAGACTGAAATAATTACTCAGTGACAAAGCTTGGGGATACAAACTTTACACTGAACTCCTAAACAATGCTTTTTTAAGTGCGAGGACAGGACACATTTCTATGTCACAAGAAAAAACTTTACTCAATAAAAAAAAATTTTTAGTGAAAAATTTGTTGCGAGACTAATTTTGAGTTGGGAGCAATTCTGAAACATGTTTCTATTTTGAAACATAGACCCCAAAATAGAGGCATGTTGTGGAATCATTCAATGGAGTCTCGCAACACAAATATTAAACAAAAAAAAATGTTTTTTTTTTAGTGTTCAGTGCTTTTATAAGACATCTGACACCGATACCATTTAGGGACATGTGTCATTGCCTGTGTACCACAAATGAGTGTTAATGTACAGGCTCGATGGAGAGGATGAGCCTAAGCCTGAGCGGCGACCAAGCCGATTCACTTCTCAGCCCGTTGAGAATGAGCCCTGGAGCTGGGAGACCCTTGGGCATTGCCAACGCTGAGCCACGTCTTGAGGTGGCAGAAAATTGGTGCGTCGTTTTCCCATTTGGAGGTTTTCCATAGACTGCCAACTTCTTGCGCCTTGCCACAGGACCAACATGCAGACCGAGGAGGGTGAATCGGGCTCTTCCCCCACCGTCGGAGGGACAGTGGACCACCAGCGTGGAGGGTATTCTTCACCTGACACCGGGAATGGTGCCAGTTCATTTACTTATACCACCTTGCAGGGCACATGTGCAGACAGTAAAGAATGAGGCAACATCTCCTTTAGTAAGCGGTGGATCAGGTGCCCCTGTGTCAAGGCGTCCTCGCAGGAATGTGAGTTTTGCTGCTAGCTTAAGCCGTCAAACATTTGTTTGCTGTCTGGCTTTTGAACCGTCGACACATACTGTAACTTTAAAGAATGTTCTCTATTGCCAACCAACATCGTACAGGGTGTTTCAGGAAATGCTGGCTAAATCGCTCATGCGAAAAGTATGCATTGCACAAAAAAAAGGTGGATATCATATTGGTCTCTGCCAAAGGACCGAGTTAGAAAAATTAAAGATGTTCGGTATAACTGGGTTCTTTATTACTTTGAGTACTTATCTTCTTAATTAGTACATTAAAAATTTGGTTTCATTTCAAATCTTTTTGGGCATCATCGAAAACGACTCAATCGGCACACTTAAAAAAAAAAGACATGTAAAGCATTTCACGGTCTTCGAGAAAAAAGCGCTCAATTTGGATGCATTTTGAAGTTCTCGATTCCTATCAAAACACACCTCCGCACCAGCGGTCCTGCTGCCATGTGACCGAAGCGTGCGACTAACGTCCGCTGCCACACGTTCTTTGCACGATGGAGGTGAACCCTAGGATTGAAGCTTATTCTCGCAATGTCAATCATAATTCAAACAGCACAGCATTTCATTTCACCAGCTCGCTCCATACTTCTCTCATACGAGGAAGGCGAGCTGGTAGTTGCATGCTTTGGCCACTGGTAGAGGGACCCCTTCGCAAAGATGCACTTTGATAGAAAATCAAAACCAAGAAACTCGTTCAAATTTAGTGTTTTCTCGTGTGCCTTATATTTTTGTAAAGTGCACTAGTAATTTAACAATTTTCAACGATGCCCAGAAAGTTTCGAATTGAAACCATACTTTTATATGTACTATAATTAAAAAGTTAATTACACAAAAATTCTTAAAGCGGCAATGAAACTATCTTCAGACTTCGGCCAACTAACTACGGGAATTTGTGTCGTATATAAAATGAAGATGAGAAAAGCATTTTTCCTTGCGCAGGCTAGTTTTTGTTTTAAAAAATGAAACAAATCGAAGGTCGGAGTACGCCTCAACTCACTCCGTCTTTCAAATGACGTCACTGGGAGTTGGCATTTGCCCACGCCAGGTGTGGGCGCTACACGTGCGCACGCAGAAACTGGATTCGCGTCGAGTAAAGCGTCTGCAAACCTTGTAAACTTTGGACCCTGTAAAGTTTGTAGCGGGTCCGAAGAATGTGACTTTCAGTTGCAGTCTGCTGAGGAGGCTCGTTGTAAACAAAGTATGGATCAGGCACGGTAGTGGAATCAAGGGCAGAAGCGAAAATAATGTGAAAATCCTCAGATGCGTGCTCAGGAGGATGTGCAGACACGACGCCGACGCCACAATGATAGCGAAATACGCGAGCACCGAGCAGGCTGTCGCTGTAACAGACGTTACGCGATAGCCTAAATGCACTCGAAATTTTGATGTCCTCTTGGCCGTATATCTCACCTGCACAGACTGCATTAGTGTACCTTTCTCTACTTTGTTTTTAGAAAAATCTGTTAAGCTTAAATTGAAACCACCCTGTATATATAGGGTTCTTCAAAAAGGAAGATTTAAAATTTTTATTTCAAACAAACTGTAGAAGACCAACACATTCCACACACCACTGGATAAAGGAATTCAGTTCAAGGTTTTTAAAAGCCTGCCGAGAAGTTCATTTTAATGCCATGCAATGGCGCTGTTTCTTGTTTATAGAAAAGTGGCGTAGCCACAGGAAAGGTTGTTTTGTGTGCTGCAGTTTGCAAAGTGTAATTTTTTTGTTCAAGTGCAACACAACTTCCACGGTCAATTCATGCCTTGTCATAAGCAAATTTGCGAGTGGCATAAAGACTGTAGAAGATGGTTGCATATGCAAACGGAAACAGTTGATTCGTGTGTGGCAAAAAATGAACTACCATTTTGATGTTCGTTATGCAACACACGGTGCTCATATGTTGACTGCAAGGAACCTCAGACCCCATAGAACTTTGAACCTTCCTTTATCAAAGAATGTGAAGAATTTGTTTGTCTTTAACAGTTTGCTTGAAATTAAAATTTGAAATCAGCTCCTTTTTTTAATAGCTTTGTATATGTACCAACACACGACACGCTGCTGCTGTCAGCACAACGCATGCGCAAACACTTCACCTCACGAGATTTTGGTCTCTGTGCGCACACAGTGCCCACACCTGGTGTGGGCAAACACCGACTTGTTTGTAAACACCATGTTGGCCTATAGATTACATTTGTCATTGTAGAAGCTGCATGCAGTAAGTGTACAAAAAGTACATGCTTGTGAGGCCTACAGCACTAAAAAGCAGCTCTTGCCTGGAAGCACGTGCATCAAAGTAAAAAGACCCGACTGTGGCTTTTACAGGCAACCCACACCACCCGAACTGGTTCATTACGCCGATCTGCACGGATCACAGCTAAAACTTCTGCAAGCAAGCAGCTGGAAACCTGAACCAACTGTGGAAGCTTTGCATGTGATTGTTCAACGGAGATCAACTGGAAAAGGATTTCATACAAATCCTTAAAAAAAAAAGAAAAAAAAAAGGCTTCCTAAGCTTGATTTTAGATTGTGAGTCATGAGTTAGGTGGTTAAATTATGAGCTGAGGACACTAAGCCAGCGAGCAGTCAGTTTACAGTTGGCTCAGGAGGATTACTACCCATGCCACCTTTCGAGGAATGCAAATAGGAGATTCCTCAGTGTATGGTTGAAAATTTCAGTATCTGGTTCTGGAATTCTTATTTTATGCTGCAGTTTACGGGGGGTTTGTAGCAGCTGGCAGCTTTCCCGCTCTCCATTGACTTCGGAGACGACAGCTCCCACAAGGAAGCCAGATAACTCGAATTGTGGGGACTTGCACGAAGGGTTGTCAACCTTACGTAGTGGACTTGTTACTAACTACTAATGAGCTGCACCCATTGTGCAGGTTGTGCGCATTCCCGACTTTACACATCCTCATTGATTGTGCTATTCACATCTGTGTGTGCCTTCTTTACAAGTGTGAATGAAATCTGAGAGGTTTTTTTGTCGTATTCACCTAACTCGTACTAGAGGTGCTTATTGACAGGCATCCAGAGCAATTATGAACGTTTGAGTGCACTTGTCACATATTTTGTTCTTTTGAGTGCCATAAGAATGAGCTGTAGAGCAGTTCTCAGTCTTAACTGTAGTGAAGATTGAAAGCAACTGTCCAATGTGCCTTAGGAGGAAAGGAAACGGTAGGCTCTACTAGTTTTCAGTGCGTTGTTTGTTTTCATGCCTACGAAAATTGGTAATATCAACCTCTAGTCAGTGCAAGGTTCTCATGCGGTATTACTAGGTGAACACCAAACGTGCAGTATTCCAAGGAAAAGTGACTGAATGCGGTGCAGCTGTTAATCAGCCAACCAAAAAGAAACATTTTTTTTTTACTCCTATTTTTTCGACAAGGGACATTTCCTGACCAATCTGCTTAATTTTTTTACCTTTCCGTTCTCTTTGTTACACCGTGCAGATTTTTCAAGCGCTGTCCACTATTTGCCTGTTTGTTTTATAAATAAAACATGTTTGAAGTTCTCTTGCTGTGTTCTCAACAAAGTGCTGAATTGAAGCCCAAATCTTGGGAGTCCAAGGGGACACTGCATCTGTAATTGTTGGCAGAGATCTTGCTACTTGCCCCTGTCTATTGCCTATATCAGTGTGTGATTGCTGCACCATTTGTGCTATATCCTGCTACATTTCTCTAAAAGCTGATGAAACTGCACCAGCATTGCACCAAGATTTAATTTCACTTTAACTAAAAATATAATAGCTCAGACCCCGTACACGACTGGATCATTATGGCGGGCTTGTACAAATATACATTTTGCAAAACCCCCAATGCTGCTTGCGAGGTCCCATGTGACTTTCCCCTACGTGACACTGAAGAGAGCAAGGTTAGTGCAGTTGCTCGCCGTCGCCCGTTGTCTGCTACCGCCGGTTGTACCTCGAGTTCCCAGCATTCCTTGCGGCACCGCAGACTGCACTACACGCTTTGCAACAGGTCTATTTTCAGAACTTCTAATTATCCCCCTAAATAATGTACAATGGTTTAAAGTGTGCTTCTCACCGTTCACTGGTGAACTGCAGAGAAGCGACCACCGCAAAATAGGCGTCGCGATTTTGCTTATCTTTTTTTGCCGCAGTGCACCTGCGCACTAAGGGAAAAGTGGTCCCCCAGAGCATAAAGTTACATATAAAAATGGTAAATTAAAAAAAAAAAAAATGTGGATGTTACAATTTTATTTTGCAGTAAAAATTTTAGAATCAAACTGCGACTAGTAGCCTACAAGGTCTGCACAGTGGATGTTGTGCTGTAAAACGAGCCGGGAAAAATCTGTGCCTGCACATAGAAAGCTCCAACTTTCACTGAATGTGCACAGTGGTGGTGTATTTTACAAAGAAAGGGTAAAAACACAGACTAGCTGGTGAAGAACTTCCACAGTAACCGGAGACACGGAGTATTTTACCTCGTAAAAGTTTTGCTGTTTTTTGTGTTTTTCAAATCAATTATAAGTGGGGATACTTGGGCTGATAGAAGTTATCATCTCATATGCTTAGTTATCACCTTCATGTAGGTTCCATCGGTTCTATCAGACACAGTCAATATCTTAAATTAAAAATAAGTTAGCTGGAGCTGTCTTGTGCTCCAAAATGACAGACCAATCACATCACTGCTACTGGTCCAATTAACCCTATCACTTCCGAAAGGCACCTGGTAAGTGTACAACTTCCTCTTCAATATTTGAAAAGGGGACTTGGCCAAAAAATTAGTTTTTGCAAAAAAAACTGATTTTTAAGAATGTTATATTTAGATCCTCCAATATCTGAAGAATATTTCCACAAGGTTTCATTCATTTTTGCTAAATGTTTAACTTTATTATTTTCAGTGCCTCGGTCCTATATAAAAGGTGGATATCTGAACATCTTTAATGCATTTTTCTCCATTTCATTTTTTCAGCATAATTTCAATCCATTTTTGGCAATATAAAAATAAACTTTTTTTTTTTCCTACTGAAGTTTAATGAGGAACGCACCTATGGAATTGCTTTCCTACTTTATTGATGTTTTAAAAATATTAAGACAGCCGAGGACACAGAAAGCGTAATATTTTACTCCTCCCCCCCCCCCCCCCCCCCCCCCCCCCCCCCCCCCCCCCCCCCCCCCCCCAATTTCAATTCCTGGGGAAACCCCTGGACTAAGCAATGTTGGTATGTCTGGTAGAAACTATCATAATTTCCTTCACAATTAAAAGCTGAAACTTTTTACTGCACCCTTTACCATAGCAGCCCACATCATTCATTTCGTGTTAAGCTAGGAGTTCAAAAGCTGACCCTCCAGGGCAGTGTCCTCCCTTAAACTGCAGGTGCGAGCACTGGAAAAAGGTACCAGTGTAGGTCTGCTTGTGCAGCAGGAAGACATTTGAAAGGTACACACACATGCTTGCAGCATCCAAAGAAGCTGGTATAATATATATATATATAGGGTATGTCCCCGCATGAATGAAACCTGGCATTAAAGGCAAGAGAGTTAATTATTTCTCATAATCCGCTATGGCAGTTAGAAGTTGCACTGAAATTGGGCCAAATCGGCTCGATCCATGTTTAGCCAGATCTGTCAACCACCATAGTGAGGAATGAAATTGGAAGAGATGCTATAAGTCGCAGTTCAGAAGAACCTTCTGCTGAAGCTGGAAATGTTTAAAAGGAAAAAAAAAAAAAAGTTTTTGCAAAATTCGAAATGGCAGCCAATGTTCTGCAAATAAACTGCATTTGTTTAGCACCTTTGTGAAGCAGTCGCCTGAACACTGGCCATAATTTCGTGAATTCCGCAGAGTACTTTTTTTGTTTGTGCTTCTATTTGCTTAGGGCAGTTAATATTTTGCAAATGGTACAACTGCAAAGACTGGAGTGTTTAAAAAAAAAGAAGGAAAAAAAACATCTTTGGTAGCTTTCTTACTTCATTGTTCTAAGTATTGGTCCTTTATTGTTTGGCAACAAAACTTACTGGAGCCATCTCTGGCCCACATCCAGCCTGCATACATTTCCTAATATTTTATGCTTTACTCCTTCACCAGAAGCACAAAATAATTTGAATGTTATATGTGACATTTCTCTAAAGAAAGCTCATATATTTAATCTGCACACACCACAAAACCTGCAGTCTACTCCAAGACTGGATCTGTACGGCATTTGTTAATGCAGACGCAACTTTGTTACGCCGTTCCAACTCGCATAAGGAGCGAGTACATGTGCATAATCATGTCGTATTTCACAACTAAAAACGTGGGAACATATAAGCAAAACATATGAAGAATACAGCTAAACTGCAGGGATCAAACTGGTTAGGTTCAGCTTGGGTTCAGTAGCTTTTCACTTTTACAGTGGAGCTGTTAAGGGCTACTTTCCCTAGGATTATGTCCACCAGCAAAGAAATGATGACACCGAACACTGGACAGCCACCGCCATCTAGGAGCGCCGGCGGCAACCAGACAACTGGTTGCCGCCGTCGCTCATAGATGGCGGCAACCTTCGTAGGCAGAGCCGTGTTCGGAGGAAGAGCTGGAACGGAATGAGCGGCGATGTGCGCAGCAGCACGAATATTTCCGCAACCGCCGCGAGGCCGCTATCGCCTAAAGTTCCACCGCGTCAAGCGCTTCAGATTCCCTTGCGAAAGAAGAGCAGATCACTCACCTGGAAAGCCACCGCCGAGAACAAAAGCTACAGCTCCGCTGCTCTTCCTTGAGTCGGAAGGCTGAAAGTTTTTTTTAAAGTTTGGTTCCGGTTCAGTAATCCATTAGATATAGGTTCAGTTACCGGTTCCACCAAGTGTGAACCAGTTCAAACTCGACCTTAGACTGAGGCCACCCGTGCATTTTCTGTGCTAAACAAAACGTTTACAAGTTTACAGCTCTCGGTCGTAAAAAAAAAAAAAAGTGTGTTTAAGACAGCGTCATTGGCATGAAGAATACGCCAAACTGCTCGTCAGAAGCCATGCTGTGGAAACAAGGGCAGCAAAATAAATATATGCTTAATCTCATTGTGATCTTGTCTTTTTATTGCAAACATCATTCTATATGCAAATGATATGGTCATACAGGCACTCGGATACAGTACCAAAGTGTGCTACTCGCAAGTGAAGTCAATTGGCCAGCACCTGCAGTGACACTGTAACACTGGCCGGCACCATGCTAGCAAACTACCCACACTGCATGCCTGTAGGATTGAGTTGAAGGGGAGAAAGACAGCAACGGGCAGTCAAAATATGATAAAAAAAAAAATAATAGAAGGAAAGGCAGCATGCTGCATTTGAAAAACATACCTATATACACAAAAAAACATTTTCTTCAAGAAGAGTCCGGAGCTTTCGGCGATTGGCATCCCAGCTTTACGAGACTTCGCCTCTTGGTGCCTCCAGTTTTTGCCACCAATGAACAAACATGCACTGACAGCTATCTATATTATTTTTTATGTCTGTTTTCTGTTTCCTTGAGGCATATTGTTTAGCAGCAAAAAAGAAAAACACAAAGAATAGCTTTTTAGCCTCTTGGCATGGTCAGATACACTCCGTTTCATCCATAGTTCAGAGTCGGTCACATGACTTTGTGCTCCCCACATCGCTCTGCCCAACTGGAAGAACGTGAGACACCCTCCGAGTTATAGATTGGCTCCAGTGGCTCATAGGATCCTATCTGGTCTATCGTAAGTTAAAACGGAGTATGGGAGTATACGCCTTTGTGCTGACTCACCCACACAAAGTTGTGTCATGCTGCAAATAGACGTGAAATATATTTCTTTGTTTTATTATTATCGAGCTGTCTCTGCGTCCCTGTCATTTGTTCAATCAACACTACCCGGCTTGCTACGACGAAGTCAATATTCAATTGACTTTGCACTGCCACCTGCAAAAAGGTGTGGCCCACATTTTAGTATGCCGAACAGGTTTCTAATGAGGTGGTAGCCGCCACATGAGCTTACGGTTTTATTCCGGTTCGGGTTCAATATAACGTTTTATTTCAGTTCCGGTTTAGACAGTGTAAGGTTTTGCCCCGGTTTTTTATTTGGGTTCAGTTTAACAATGTTTTTTGCGTGGCGCAGTGAATGCTGCACCATGCAGGCAGTTTAATTTCCATGACTTTATAGATACTAGACCCACAGTCCATCTTAAAAACATGATTTGATGACATCACTGGTTAAATGTCCTTTAAACTAACAATTTATCAATCTGCTTACTAACAAAGCACTACTCAACATGTACAAATTGTATGGGTAGAGAAGAAACATCAAAACTTAGAAGGGACAGAAAATAGACAGGACGATGTCTCAACAATGACGTCGTCCTGTCTATTTGAGACGTCCTGTCTATTTTCTGTCCCTTCTACGTTTTGATGTTTCTTCTCTACCACAGTCTCAGGTTAATTCCACATGGTTAATACTCAACATGTGCCCATGTTGCAGTAAGTGGACACTTCCTACCTTTGAAATATCTGAACTAAAAGGGTGGCGCAACAATATTCAATTGGAATGTTTTTTTACTTCACACAAGCTTACTGGCACTAGTGGGACCCAAGCATACTCGCACGCAACGCCACTGACCAAGAAACTCCCTTGTTGCAGTGTAATTTCAAGGAGAAAAGTGAGCGTTTTCTGTCAATCTTTCCTTCGCAAAACCTGATGATGTAGCGTGGGGGTCGCAGTGTCGGCATAGTACACCCAGTGATGGTATTTGAACGCGGCTCATAGATCGGACCCGAGCATTGCGTGCACACTCAATTTGGGCTCGTGATAATCAATAGCTCGATAAACATTCGGGTAGTGGCCCATGTCCAATCGCTGCAATGACGACAATAGCCAATGTCTGGAACTCAGCGTGTGTACTGCGCTTTGCCAACCCCAGTTGGTGGCTATGATCAACATTGGCGGCATATAATTGGCTCCAGATCACGTGGCCGCTTGTTCTGGCTGCAAGTTGAAGGGGTGATTGCTGCTCGTTTTTCTTAAATTTTTTTCTGCAATTTCTATTGCGTGTGGTGAAAAATAAATGCATGTTTCATAGGTCATTAACGTCAGAGATTTGTTCCAAATGGTATTTGCGCAGTTAAAAATAAATTTGGCAAAGACACTTAAGACTTGTTATGTGTAGGAATGCTACACGCAGCACATTTTTACAAGCAGCGCGACATCTTCCTTTCGAACACGGCGCTCTAACAGTGACATCACGCTTGCCCACTGCGCAGGCGCGGCAAACCTTGCCGGCTTCACGACGGCTTCCGTGACGAAGCATCATTGCTGTGCTTTTCTTTGCGTTTTATTTCTGAAGTTTGAGAACATGACGTTACCTGGATAAATAAATAATCGAAAAAACAAAATTGGGTCCATACCACATGAGCGAATGACGTTTTAGCGAAGAACGGTTATTTGAGTAAATCAACCTTTTAGCAAATGACTGGGGTGTGTGTTAAGTCACCCGCCCCTCTGCGTTCACGCCGCTTCGCGGCGGCAGTCTGCTGCGGCTCATTAAAAAAATGTTAAAACCCCTGGCCCACCTGTGAACGCCGCTTTGCGGCAGTCGAGCATTTGCTAAACTCTGTCGATGGAAAGTCTACGTTCGCTAAAACGTCGTTTGACCAACTGAGTGCCACCCGATAAGGGTATGGGGGGCCCATTTGTACAGAAGAAAAAAGGCCGAACCAGTAGCCACGCTCAATGTCATAAGTCCGCTTCCCAGCGTGCCCAGACGTTGAGGTACTCCTGCCAGAGCAGCTCTGCATCGGGCCGCCGCTCGGGGTCGCGCTCCTTACAGGCACGGTGCACAGGAAACAGGCGAAACTTGAGGCCCTCTACACTGCGTGTGTTTCCTAGCAGCCAGAGGCAGACGTCGGGAACCTTCCAGATGTCGCATTTCAAGTCGCATGAAGCCGTCTCCGACACATTGCCCCTCTGCTCGGGTGCCAGGAGCTCGCCGTGCAGCGGGGGAGTGCCGCACGTCACCCGCTTGCCCGGGGTCACTCGGGGCAAGGCATCCAGGTCATTGACCCGCAATGAGAGGTCACCGCGAACGAGGTACTGAGACAGTGTCTTGGCAAGTGTGTTAGAGTCGCACATGACGCGCTGGTGAGCGTGCAAATGCCGCAAGATGGCCACGTATCCGAGGCAGAGGGAGAAGCGCCGAGGAACTGTGTCGTACCTGAGAAGGATGCAAGCGTCACAAGTAAAGCTTTTGGGGTCTGCCGTAACTTGCAGACCGCCGGCCATTGTGTCAAGGATCTCTCCAACATGGCCATCTGCCATTCCCTTGCAGGCTGTCCAGAAATAGCCGAGTGTGTGCACGGTGGTGCCACAAGAGAGGTTTCGCTACCTCTTTTACAAAGATTATTTTTTTCTCAACATGCACTTGATCTTTAGAACCTGACTTATACAGAGTGCAACACTGTTTGCATAAACAAACCATCGCCAGTTTTTCTCTTTTCCTCTTAGAGCTGAAATGCCGTGTCCTTGAACGTGCTCATCCAGAGCACCAGCCTAAGGGGGATCGGAGCGTGTTAACACACCGCAGCTCGGAGAAAGCTCTCGCTGCACAACCTAGGGATCCCGGCTTCGATCGCCACCCCTGCCCGTTTCGACCTGAATGAGCATCATACCGGCATATGGTTGTGTATCACTACTGGGTGATGCAGATTAAGCACCAGGCTAGCAGTCGTACTGCACTTGCTAAATTTCTCATCTACAGAGTGTAACAACGCCGCCATGCTCTGACATGCTAGCACGCTGTCTCAACATCTAACAACTAATTTGTACTTGTTTTAGCACCAGCCTAGGTGGCAAAAGTTGGGCTCCCTCAATATTATTTCTTAGCACAACATAAAAAAAAGTTCTTGCCACATTTGTGCTATCTGCATCATGTAGCATGCTTTGTTTCATACAAGACAAGCTATAGCCTTGTGCGAAACAAACTCGAACAGCAGAATGAGTGGCTTTCATTTTGATCAAGCCACGCAAAGTTTGCAAGCAATTGCTCCCATGCATCTGGGGTGCTTTAAGAGCACAAATAGTGTGAGGTGGACAGTGCTCTAAACCACACCAATTCGCACCAAGGTTTGTTTAAATTTTCTGCCACATTCGACACTGCCCACTGTCTCTGAAGGATTTACAAAACAATGTATCCATTTCAGGCAATCGGGAATGGCACATGCAATGCAAAAGCCCTGCATTTCAACCTAGCCGACTGCACTGTTGGAGTGTTTTCTTGAAGGTAAGAAAGAAAGGTTCAGTGATTGCTTCCTATTCTTGAGAGCCCGACATGCATGTGCTGCTTCATAAACTCTATGAAGTTAATGATGAGCAGTGCAGAACGTGAAAGAAAACTGAATTAAACTTCGGCACAAATAGTGTTTGTCTCAAGGTTCAAAGGAGCGTGATGGTATTAAAAAGCCATTTGACCCCGTTTTGTTACATGGCCTAACAGAGTAGGAGAGAATATGTCTCACAAGTTTAAAAGGTTGATTACAAATGCACCTGCCTTTTTCATAGCTTGAACTGCGTCCCAGGATATAAGTCGAGGCACTCTCACCTGGCTAACTGAGAAGTGAAGAGCCTTTGAAGATTGTCGGCCGACCCAAGCGGCAGGTACTCGGTGACGAGTGTATTGGCGCAGGACCCCAACACTTGAACAGTGTAGTCAGGGTGGCCCAGAAGTTTGTGCATCTGCACATTGTGCTGGAAGTCATCCTCTAGGTGGCTCTCCGTAAGGTTAGACAGCACTACAGCATGCCCCCTCCACCCTGCCAGGTAAACCTGGAAGGAGGACATTCAGAGGGATCAGGTTGACTGCGTCGTGGCTTCTTTTCCAAAATGTTATCTGCACCACCAAGTGCTAAAGACCAAGTGTAGATCAGTGCAGCTGGAGCTAGGTTATGGTGCTGGTCCAAGCTAAACCCAGTTGGATCCGGCCAGGTTTCACTTCCAGCTGGATCCAGCTGGAGCCAGTTCCATAATCCATGCTTCAGCTGGACTAACCTTTACTTGGGAGGCAAGATGGACATATTCCCAGAAAAGAAGACGAGTTTGAGATGGGAGCACTCTTTCGCTAAAATGTAGCGTGTGCATCTGTTTCAAAGGGCAGTGCATGAAATAACCCACTTTCCAAAACCCCCGCCTGTTCTCCGCATCTTCAAAATCTTCAACTTTCAAAAACCACACACATGCCCAGCCTGTCCTCCAAGTGTCATTATTGCTTGACAGTCTCTGGTCAAGCCTTCATTCAAGTCCCTTTCTATGCACTGCTGGGATCTTAAAATCATGGTGTTCAACACAGAACCCTGATGCCAGGGATGAATTAGGTATTGACAAATGAAAACAACTGTCTCCATAACAATGAAGTCAACAAGGAAACTTTATGGAGGCCTGCCACCAGTAAACACATTTTGCAATGCAAGAGAAAAAATTTCCGGATTACTATTAAATGTTTCATCTGCCAGGTGCTGTGATTTTTGCAATATTCAATCAGAGAAAAATTTACAATATGATTTAGAAAGTTCCTCCTAATTTTTGCACTCGAGGAGCTATGCACATGGATATGCACAGAAAAGGGATGGCTAAACGGAAATATGTAGAGCCATAAAAAAAAAAAATTTTAAGTGAAGCGCGCAACAGTAAAAAAGGAGTGTGGCAGTTCTTTTTTTTTTTTTTACTTTCATCCGAGTTGATAACTGATGGCCACAGTGGATTCCACTCATAAAGCGATTGCTCATTATGCTCCATTATTGTGCATCCAACATCGTGAAATAACTACCTTGAAGTTCGGCTCGAAGTTTAATATGCACAGAAAAGGGATGGCTAGACGGAAATATGTAGAGCCATAAAAAAAAAAAAAAGAACAATTTTAAGTGAAGCGCAACAGTAAAAAGGGGGTGTGGCAGTTCTTTCTTTTTTACTTCTAGCATCTGAGTTGATGATTAATGGCCACAGTGGATTCCACTCATAAAGCGATTGCTCATTATGCTCCATTATGTGCATCCAACATCGTGACCTTGAAGTTTGGCTCGAAGTTTGACATGCACAGAAAGAGGATGGCTAGACGGAAATATGTAGAGCCATAAAAAAAAAAAAAGAACAATTTTAAGTGAAGCGTAACAGTAAAAAGGGGGAATGGCAGTTTTTTCTTTTTTATTTCTTTCATCCGAGTTGATGATTGATGGCCACACTGGATTCCACTCATCAAGCGATTGCTCATTATGCTCCATTATTGTGTATCCAACATTGTGAAATAACTACCTTGAAGTTCGGCTCGAAATTTGGTGTATGTCCATCAGGATCTCACGCTATTTTGATTTTACCTCCTACATTGTTGAGAAGAGAGCCTCACAGCAGGACGTAGATCCAAACATTGATGCAAGTCTCTGACCCACAAGTTATGGTGGCACAAGACTGCCAAAACATGGGCTGTACTTTATTCTGTATCTGTCCTGATCCTGTGGGAAGGGGAGGGGGGCAATGATTACTAGGGACCCGCGAAGAGCCGCAGTTTGACCACCCCTGGCATAGAAGATTGCCACATTTTGGGGGAGGTGGGAAGCAGAAAGCCCATAAGCCGCCGCCCCGCCCCTCCCCGTCGCCTTTCCCACCTCAGCACCTGACTGATTGGCACACATAAAAACTTAAAGGAGCACTAAAGAGGATTCTGCGATCGTCTGTTCTTGGTCATAACTGAGAGAGGCGGCTTGCGATTGGCTGACGAGTGCCCATCGTCACCACGCTGACACTGCTGCCTTTCCTGAGCAGAAAAATCCGCTCAGAAAGGGGTGTGTCCCAACATTTCATTATGTTTTTAAAAAGAAAATCACCATTGCGTGATTAAAATTTTTGAATTTTTAGGATGCTTAGAACCTGTAGAATCAGCTACGACCAAGAACAGACGACCGCAAAATCCTCTTTGATGCCCCTTGAATATTTTCTTTTTTAAATAGAGATTTGCATATCATGTATTCAATAAAGAATGACAACGATCACCCCCTCAAAGGGGCGATGCAATACTTTTTGTACTTTTAGTAAATACAGCTTAGAATTATTCCCCAACATTCATAAAGTATAAAACATATGTTAGTACTTTTTCTCCATGCAATGGCAGTCACAGAAGAAAAATATAGAAAAACAAAAAGCGTTCACCCCCTCAACTCAAAGCTTGAACAAGCCGCCACATAATCTGGAGTTGAATATATGCCACCCAATGTTTTTTCATAGCCACGCGCTGAGGTTGGCAAAGCACAGTGCACACACTGAGTTCCAGATAAAATTAAGGTTTGGCTATTTTAATCATTGCATCGATTGGGCACAAGCCACTACTCGAATGATGTCAAGACATTGATTGTCACGAGACCAAATCGAATGCTCACGCAGTGCTCATGTTCACTGTCTGAGCTGCATTTATTTATCGTCACTGCAGGGCTTGCAAAACTTAAAGGGCCGCTGAAAAGAAAAACAATTAATGGAAACAATCTAACTGGGACACGCTAATAATAAACAACTTTTGCGCGAAAAAAAAAAAAAAGTTTTACAGCAATATTGACGGCGCGAGATAATATTTAGTCGGTAGTCACCTCTTCTCCACTTGTTTCCTCTGGGCATTTCTGGCGCAGGGAGGAAAGGTGGATTCGCTTGGCCATCACATTGAGGTGGAGAGAGTGCATGACCATCTCGTCGAGGTGGAAAGAGTGTATGGCCATTCTGTGACGTCATGGACTTTGCGCGCAAAAGTTAAAATATATCTCGTGCCATCAAAACTGCTCTACAAAATAAATTTGCTTTCGTGTAAAATTTATTTTTTGACAAGCGTTTCCCAACCAGACTGTTTAAAAAGAACATTTCTTTTCAGTGGCTTTTTAATGGCGAAATCCTGGGGATCGCATTGTTGACAATGCCAACAATGGGATCTCCACAACTACATCATCAATTTTTGCAAAGGAGAGATTGAAAGAAAACGCTTGCTTTTATCCTTGAAATTACACCGCAACAAAGGAGTTTCTTAGTCACTTGCAGTAAGCTCATGTATAGTGAAAAACACTCCAAATGAATACTGTTGCACCACTCCTTTAACCTTTGTTCTGCGGCTCTATTCCAGAGTAGTGCAGTATGGCGATACAAATGTATCGCAATAGTATCTTAGAGATACTTTTGAGTCTCTGTATCTCTGCATCGAGGTACATTTCAAAAATGCATTTGTATCTCAGTACTGAAATACACTTACAATGTATCGATTGTATCGGAATACTTTGCCAGGCCTTAGGTATCTCATTACATTTGTTATCAAAAATCAAATGCCAGGATTTTACGATAAACTTAAAAACATCTTTTTAGTTCAAGCGGTCCCAGAATTTAGGATATGAACCCCCCAGTTAACCTCTACAGGGAAAAGCCTGGTTAATCACCAAAATTTATAAAAAAAGGAAGAGAAAGAAAAAGTGGTTCCAAGAAATGACACGAGAGAATAACAGGACAAACTCCTGCCATAATGGTCTCTACTTTTTCCTCATTAGCATAGCAAATTCTGAAAAGGAGGAAAGTGGAGAGGAGAAAACCACCAATCGCAGACAGTAAGGAACTTGTAAGAAAACCTTTTCTCTTATACTGCAACAGGTTTTGTGCAAACTAGGGTGCCTTATTGAAGACAGGTTCGGTTCTGTTGTTCCAATATCTCCCCGCCCTGGGTGACTCAGAAGCACTTTAGAGAGAGGCGATCAGTAAGTTAATATTTTAACAAAGACTAGACACAATGGAGGATACACGATGGGTGAGAAAGGAATATAAGCATCTATATATGAAACGTCAGAACATTACATGGACAAACCGAACCCGAAAACTGAAATTTAAATATCAACAGTCAAATGCTGGGGCAGAGCAGGCTACCTCTGTGGAAAAGGAAGTAAAAGAAACCGAGGGGAAAATGTGGGAAGAAAAATGCAAGGAAATCGGTCTTAAATATATATAGGGGACGAAAACAGAAAATAAGGAAGGAACATTGGTATGAATGGGGGAACTTATTGTTATTCCAGGCTATAACACAGTATTGAGAACTAGGACATATAGAACAAAATACAAGGAAATGCACATGTGGTGTGCCATATGCCAAAGGGAACACAAGACAATAGAACATGTGGTATTGAGATGCACAGGGCTTGCTCCCCTCCTCCCGGAGGGGGCGACAGATTTAGCCAGAGTGCCGAGGTTTGCAGACGAGAATGGAAGAATGCATGATAAGTGCACTTTAATAATAAAGAGGAGATCGGAAGACTGGTGGAAATTATCTAGGGTGAATTGAATGACGTACAACTAATTAGCACAGCTGGGGACAGGCAGGACAGAGGAAAACTGAGACTCCTTCCCACAAATCTCTGGCCCAAGGTCTCAACCCTGTCTCCCAGTGGGCCCAGTTTTGTGGTAACACCGACTAGGTTTGACCAGAGGAAAATTGGCGACTCCCTTGCCGGGAGGAAGAGGTGGGGGGGTGATGTTTTTAGTTTTTTTTACCCGTTCCCTAAAGGTCATCCTGGTGATATCCCACACTGCCTGGTGATAGCTACAAAATTGCAGAGGGGAACAAATTGGCCTAGAAGAGCGAGGGGAGGAATCATACTCTAGGTTTTTAGTTTCTAGGCTAGGTGGCACAGGTTACCACCCGTTATAAAGGGTACAGCCATTAGCATCTATCCATCTACTTAAAATGACAGTTTGAGAAACACCCTCACAGCAAAACAGGGTTCGATCACTTAGGGCAGACACCTTCTGTCAAGCATGGCAAGCAGACATCTGCGGGATTTACTGGGGCAGGGGGGGCAATAGTGTTTTATTTAGCAGCGTTCAGAATGACGGCTGCAGATGGTAAGGGGAGGTGCATATATAAGCTGACACAAAGAGAGAAACACGAGCTATTACTTGCATGTCACTAACGGCACCCTCTGCACCTCCGTTCGGGAAAAAAAATTATTTCTGTATGTATATGATGGCAGAAGCAGATCTGACTGTAAAATGAACCGGAAAAAATCGGTGCTTGCACATAGAAAGCTGAAACTTGCACCAAATGTGCGTTGAGCAGGTCAGTTTTACCGTATGAAATTTCAAGGTGTTGTTCTCTTCTCGTAAAAAAATGAGAGCAACAAACTTGCCGAAGTCCACGTCGGGCGTGTTCGCAGACGACAGAGCTAGCGACGCCATTAACTTGTGGCGCCATCTCCCGATAGGCGCAGCGAGCAGACAACAGAGTGCCTATTGGAAGATGGCGCCATAGGTTAATAGCGTTGCTAACTTGATTGTCTGCGAACGCACCCAGCGTGGACTTTGGCAAGTTTGTCGCTCTCATTTTTTTACAGGAAGGGCTACACCTTAAAATTTTACACGGTAAAACTGACCTGCGCAATGCACATTTGGTGTAAGTTTCAGCTTTCTATGTGCAAGCACCGATTTTTCCGGTTCGTTTTGCATGAGTGATGAGCCCCAAGCTGAAAGATATTGGGTCTGTAAAATGCGAACGGAGATAAAGGCTGTCGAAAGGGAGCGCTGGACATTGGCAACGCAACAGCATACTAGCATGCATTTGTATGCATCTTTCAAGACCGAGATCGCTCCAATAACGTTCTGCAGAAACACGCTGGGAAGTCGCCTCTCATCGAAGCCCGCGGCAGTGCCCTGCGCACCAGACAGTACCGACGCAAGTTTGACAGTAGCGTGACGGACATGACATGCAGCAGCGCCTGTGGAGAAGACGAAGAGACCATCGAGCATGTGCTGCTTACGTGCCAGAGGCTCCTGCCAGTGCCCATTGGGGGCTCCCGCATTGAGCAGGCACTCGGCTTCACGAATGAACATGACCACGTGGCCTGTTCTAGGCAAAGACTGGAGGCATGGTGAAAAGTGTGACGGTGATTTGCGCACCGAGAAGTCAGTGCGTACCAATTGAACCACCGTGATTGTCTAGCTGTTATCCTCCGCCCACCAAGGGTCACCTACGACAGATGGTGTGTCCTGACGACCTCCCCCTCCCACTTCTTTTTTCACTTTTTTGGCGTGTCCAACTTAGACTCTCGTTTCGAAGAGATTGCGCCGCAGAATACGATACAACACAGGAAGAAGAGCGGGAGCGGAACGAGTGGCGATGTGCGCAGCAGCGCGAATGGTTCCGCAACCGCCGCGAAGCCGCTATCGCCTAAAGTTCCACTGCGTCGAGCAGATCGCTCGCCTGAAAAGCCACCGCCGAGAACAGAAGCTACAGTTCCGCTGCTCTTTCTTCTTCACCAGAATAAAAAAAAGCTTCAAGTTTTTTTTGTTTTGTTTTTGCGCAAGTTAAAATCCACGTAAAAAAGTGTTTGTGATCACGAATCTTTTCTGGAGTATCTCTGTCCAGCACTGCTCTATTCTTGTATCTCCAGACTTTTTACTCGCTTTACTGTCAAACTCGCTGTACGTTCTTATCTTTAGCTCCGTTTGCACCAAGTGGCGCGTCTTTTGCAAGCACCCCGCCGGCCCCTTCGAAAAGTTGCCTGGCTTACTTTATGATATGGTTTTGGGGCATGAAGACGCCCGATTAAGATATGACAGGCCAGAAGCGTCACTTGGGTGTTCTGCCAGTCGGGCAGAACAGCCAAGTGACGCCAAAAAGGAGCGTAGGGGGACGCACGTTTTTCACAACGCCTCGAGCCAAGAGACGTTGGACGTGGACGTCCTCCCTGATGTCACGGCAGGACAGCTTCGGATGACAGACATCGCTGTGGGCGAGACTGAAGCTCTCCTGAAGGCACTCGCGCTTGCACACGGATTGTTCCTGAAGAGCGACGTCCGTCCAACAGGTGATCTTGGGGCCGGTGCACTTCAGAACGCAGCAGACGATTAATGCACACGCCAGAACAGAAAGCGCAGCACGCTTGAAGACGAAGCTGACAAAGTCGTGCATTCGTCCTTCAAAGGTTCAGAAGCAAATCCACATGCCCTAGTTGGTGTAATACGAGCTGGTAAAGGGACATATCGGACTCAAAGTTGTTAGTAGCCGACATAAACAAGCAGGTCGCCGGCATAACTCCCAAACCACAGTGCACCAAACAAATGGCACTAAATGACCAAATCACCTAACAGCGCCAAAACAACCAATGAACGACACGGGGTGTTGCCAAACGGTGAAATATGATGTTCGAACTCGAACTGCTCGAACCGCTCGAACTGTGCGAACGTGCGAATTGGGAACGCAGTAAATAAAATATATGCTAACCCAAAATTCAGTCCGTTGATGACGTTAAGTAATTTGATTATAAGGTCAATTACTAAAATATCATGTGAAATGTGAGATTATCTCATCCGTAAAACCCGTAGACTCCATGAGCTCGTTGACGTCACGAGCTTCTTCGGCGCGCTTTTTCGTTCATGGGCGCGGGACGCGATTCTAAAGTCCAAACGAACTGCGAAGGTGAGGAACCCGTCTCCATGTAGGGTTAAATAATACTTAATAGCCTGAGATCTTTAGATCGTACACCTACATCTTAATATCGACTGTAGTTACCATGAAATAGCGTAGGTTTTTTGTTTTGTTTTTTCAGCGTAGAGATGGACAAAGAAAGTGTTCTAGAAAAGTTGAGAGGCTGCATCAAGAGCAAGAACCTAAAGCTGGTAAGCATAGGAGCTTAAGAAACATGTTATTTTCTGTGATTAGAGAATACAGAATGGGGGTGCTGCTGTGGTTTCGATCGCTCCTTTCGCGTCTAGGGAAATTCGTCGAAAGTTCATTCGTCGACGGACAACTGCCTTTAATGATCAATGCCCATTAATGTGGCATTTTGGGCCAGTTGGTTCACGATCGTAGACAAGCGCCGAAAAAACCGACAGGGACAAGAGTTAACGTAAGCACTGACACACTCGTAACTAACATTTATTTAAAAAAAAAAATCACTTATATAGCCGTGAAAGACAAACAATAAATGTTGAAGACTGACGAGCGTGTTGGGACAGATGTAACAGTAAGAAAGCACAAAACAAACAGGTGTCTGTTTTTGTCCCTCTGTTTGTTTTGTGCTTTCTTACTGTAATAAATGTTAGTTGCGAGTGTGGCAGTGTTTACGTCAACTCTTGTCCCTGCCTATTTTTTCGGTGCTTGTATAGAACTGGCAGAAAGACAGTTCGTTGAACAGGGCAATTCGCACGAGACCAGTTCGTAGAATGTACAGTTTGACTAAAATGCCCGTTTGAAAAAAAAAAAAAAAAATGAAAGATTAGAATGAGATGCAGTATAAATGTTTTTAGACATAGGTCGAAAACTGAGCGTGTGCGCAGGCTAAGTTTTGGAGAATGTAAACAATGTAACAAAAAGATACCTGACAGATAATCAATAAACAAGGGTAAGTTGGTTGTTCAAGCAATTTAACTACTTGGAAGGCTAGGCTGGACATTTCCATGTACATTTTAAGGGTCTAGGAGAACTCGTCACAAGCTCGGTCATCACAGATCAACTGGTCTTAGGTGAATTCGTCAAGGAGGTCAACTCGTCGGAGGACTCCTTGTACGAGGAATTATCGTCAAGCCGGAATAATCGTCACAAGGAACACTCATGTCACGGCATGGAGTTTGACCGTAGAACTATGAGTTTACTTCTGTGCCAAAAAACTCCAAAATCATTCATTCATACTTCTGTTTATCCCTATGAATTATTTAACGCACCGTGTTGGCAGCTTTGATCAAAACATGACCCTAAAATTGAAATAAATATAACTAGATTCCACGACATGGTTTAGAAAGAACATATGACATGCAATTTTATTAATTGAAAACGAGTGTGTTGTTGAATTGATATGAATACTTGAAAGAATAAAACATTGAGGACGAGGACGGAAACACAACTTCTTGAAAGAAGTACTGTTTCTGTCTTTGTCCTCAATGTTTTATTCTTTCAAGTATTCATAGCAATTTTATTGAGCTTGTGCAGGCCATTACAGCATGGAACTCAAAACCAGATATTTCTAGTAATATTTCGAACCATGCAGAGAGGTGATCCTGTGAAGTGCTCCTCTAGAATTTTATATGTGCGCTCATTGACATCTTTATAATTCTGTGCGAGACGTGGTGGCGGTTGTCCCGCGTCGAATATGGGCCATCTTCAGTTCTTGTAAGGCTTGTTCATCCTTCAGACACCTGAGGAAGGCCCAGAGGTTGGAAAGACAGCATTCGACGTTGGACTGCAGCATGAAACAAAAAAAGTGCAGATTAACTTAAAATATAATGGATAATACTGACTCTAGCATATTAAAATAATCAGGACCAAAGCAGCTGTAATGCGCCTGGAAGCCTCAATGCCAGGCTTCGAGAGTGTTGTTCTTGCGTGGCATATCGTGCTGCACGGCATCATGCACGGAGTGTAAGATTCTCAGTGGGCCCCGAGTACGCTCGCCCAGGATCAAAAACAGACACGACCAGCCCCGTCTGAATCCAAGCACAATCTGTTTTAATCACAAGCCCATTGTGCAGTATCACGCGGGCACGCCAGAACGTGCAGCACGGCGGCGCCGGCTTTTGGCGCCGCTTTGGGTTTTTGAGCTGGAACCACTACACATACCCCCTTTTTTTTAAGTAAAGCTTAAGACACAATTACTATCATTTCCCTTTTTCCCCCTTGGATGGGGTAAAGTGGAGTGGAGGTCATCTGTCGGGCAGACGAAAAGTTCTGAAAATTCTGGGGAAAGAAAGGCCACTTGACCTTGGACTTGTCGCATAGTTCAGAGTTCAAAACATGTTCAAAGCAAAATCTAGAAAACTCACCAGTGATTCTGACTTGACTGTGGGCATTTAAAAATTCTAAATGTCAAAAGTTTAAAAACAGAAAAAAAAAATTGTGAATACAGAAAGGAAGACGGTTCACTCCGTTTCAGGGTGTCCAAAATGTGGAGAAAAAAAATCACTTCGCCAAGATAAGTTTTGTTTTGTTATTGATTAACCCCTTAACCGTTTTTTTATTTTTGGCAATTTTTAACTCTAAACCACTTCTTTTTTTTTAATCTTATCTTATGATTTCAGTTACTCCATACATAAAGCCCTATTATGATTGAACGACAGAGCAAACAGAAACACTTTATTGAAGGCGATTGTAATTGCTTTGTTTTTTGAAAAAGTTCAACTAACTCTTACTAAAAAAAAAAAAAAAGAAGAAAAAACCCGGAATGTAAAGGAAGGTTGTCTGGGCCCCAAAGGGCAACTTCGCGAGCCTGTGATACAGCTCGAAACACGGAATTACACATAGCGCCTTCTCGCACTTGCTGCACCAAAACCTTGTCTCCTTCCTCAGCTTCTTTCCATGTCTACACATTTCTTGAGGCGAGAATGCTCGCTGAGTTGGCTGGCGTTGAGTTTTTGCTCAGCTTTTCGGTTGGTTTCACTGACTATCAGCGAGACTAAGCCGTTGTCCAGAAAAGCTTCAAAGTACTCAAGCACGTCAGTGGTTGATTGGACTGAAAATATCTTACCCGGGCTGCCGAGAAAAGGGAACCGAAGGGGTGCTGGTGGTACACTGTTCACGTCAATTTTCGACCACTGCCGAGCGTCGGCAATAGCGCGATCTGGATCGTCGTCGTCCTCCGCTTCGTCCAAGGAGCTGCTGAGTTCGACGTCGTAATCACTGTCTTCTTCACTTGAAGAACACAAGTAGACGTCAGTATCCATGTCGCTATCGAAGTCTTCCTCAAAAAAAGCATTTGTTTTCCTTTTGGATGGGCCCGGGCCACACGTGTCACCACCACCGGACACCATTTTTCAAACACACAAAAACAAAACGCACACAAAATTGCCGTTCCTGTGCTGCCATCTGTCGGCAGCATCTCAAACTGCGAAATGAACGAACCTGGGTCGTCTAAAACGGCGAAGGGACGAACGATGTAGGACAGACGAGTTACACTCGTCCTAAATGGTTTGGGGATGGCTTGAGATGGGGGGGGGACAAGCTAGGCTTGTCCAGAACGGTTAAGGAATTAATAATCTTAGACATTTTGTTTTGTACTTGTTAGATTACTCATTCTGTTTATCATGGCCAGTATGTAACAAATCGTCTCTAGTTCAGCAGATGGCTATTTGGAATTGAGACTTAAGATCTGGTATCAATAAGCAGCTTGAGAGGGGTGCCATTTGCGAGGACATCCGCCAAGAACATGTTGCGGAGACCCGGGTCACGTGCAAGGCGATTTGTAGACTGCACCGAGACCTCCAGCTGGTCAAACGTCACACTCGGCAGGATTTCTTGATGGACAGTTCCCACATGGGTTGATCCGTATCGTCAATAAAAACGGCTGCTCTGGTAGCGTCCGGCAGGTTGTCCATGGCACCAGGGTTGTCCTCAACCCCGCACTGGAAATGATGCCTGCCGTTCATCGTTAATGAATGCTGCTGACTGTGCTTGGTGACTGCGGCAAACGAGAGCAAAATGTCCCTACTTCCCACACAGAAAGCACGTCGCGTTACGTGCTGGGCAGAACTCGGAGGTATGGTCGCATCAGCCACAGAACCAGCACGCATAGAGAGAGCTTCCATCTTCTCTCTGCCTCACCTGTTGAGGAGGAGGCTCCACGACTGCTGGCCAGCCGCCTTGCCCGACCTTGGAAACAGTGAAAATGGCCGTCAGACGATGGATGACCCCACGGCATCACGGGACCTCGCTGCGACAAAATCATCTTGGTGGATTTGCCCTTCGCGAGGCGTGGCGATAGAAAAATGTAAAAAAGAACCATGGAAATAGTCAAAGGACGTTGAGGGTCGAAGCCTACTGTTTGGGAAAATGCAAGATTGCAACCGACATGGTGGGTGACAATGCAAACCAAAGGAAAGGCTGTGAAGCAGTGGGTAATAGGCTTGACCTAGAACCAGACGTTAGACAATTGCAAGTAGGAGGCAATTGCCTCCACCAATCAGAAGTGAATACGTCATTTCTGTAACCTTTTAAAACATACATGTAAGTGTCCAACCTAGTTTGCCAGGAAAGCTTTTTAACTATTATTTTCTTTGGGAGTCAGTCTAGTCATAGAAAGCACATACGAGCTAGCAGACAGGTTTTATTACCATGAGAAATCTGTGCAAGTATACCTGAAAGTGAGTTGCATAGAGCTTGGTTTGTGGGGGGGGGCTCAGAACATCCTGACCCCCCAGCTCTCGGGTCGCCCATACTGCCATGGTTATAGTGTGCCTACAGCTGAGTAAATTGCGGGCCAAGTAAGCTGTTGAGATGTATAAGCATTCTGACGATATTTCTTTTGGCCCATCTTTTCCTTCTTTTTTAATTCTTATCCAAGCACAGCGAGACATGCACGCATGCTCCCACATCTCTCTGCAGCGTACAATGAGTTAAAAAGTTACTGTGCCCTTCTCGAGCAGAAACATGCTGCAGTCAGAGTCTAAAGAGAAAATCTGCTAGAGCAGTCTGTGATGTAACATATTGAGAGCTGCATTTATGACAGCGCCTCCTTCAGCAGTGAAGCTTGTCGTCGCTTGCATTCAGGGCCATTGGCGTGCCGGCTTCTCGTTCACTAATAAAGTTAAATGCAACGAGCATGTTCAACATAATTGGTATAGCTACTCCGACAGCTGTGCTTATAACAGACAAGGGAAGGTATGAAATTCAATAATAATATTCAAAACTGTCTGGGCACATCATTTGCAACTTTTATTTGGGGGGTCCTGCAGCTTCGCTATCCCATACTCTGAGCTCTAGCTGTTGAACAACTAATTCAGCTGTGTTTTAAGCCTGTGTATGGTTTGCTTTCTCCATGTTTCCCCGGTCTGCAAAGTAGCATCGCAAACTGAAATAATAATTAGGAAATCCTTTGAGAGCCATGATTCACTAATTTTTTACCCTTGCCTCTTTACAAGGTGTACGACTTTCTGATGAAAAATGCCCTCAAAGGTGGAGCCGATCTTCCTTCTGTTGCAGGAAAATTAATTGAAGGTATGGTGCCAAATTACAGCTGTTTTGACGAAAAGCCACCTTTCCAGAGAGTTGTTATAAGTATAGGAACTATTCAAGCAATGTTTGTATTGACTGTAACAACACTGAGGTGGTACTGAGATGGAGCAACATAAAAAAAGTTGGGTTTTTACGATGTTGAGAGTTTCCTAGCTTATCTGTGCCTTGAGTGTTATTAGTGGTAATAACCTCCTAGTTAATCCAAAGTTATTGTGTTGTAAGAGTGGAGAACCAATTGAAACTACTACTATGGTGCCACATCGCCAAATGCCGCACTCAACCTTCTTCAAATGAATTTTAATAAAGGACTGCTAGATGCTGTTTGTTGACTTAATAAAGTCACAATTCGTTGAATTCGGTTATGGTAATGTAGATGATGATCAGAAATCTTTCTCCTCGTCTCGAGCTTTCGTGGCCTCTGGATGTTTGCAGCTAAGGCAATGTGGACAATTGCAGCTGCCTTGGGCATCTTACTTTCCAAGACCATTTTTGTTTTCAGAGCTTCCAGACAATGAGTTTGGAAGAGATCAGCATGTTCAAATCTTCACTACCCTTCTTAACATCTTGAAGAAAGTGGAACTTACATCCAAGATAAGCTCAGAAGTCCTCAGCATCCTCAATACAGAGGTAATAGGCTTCTGAACTTTGCATTTCGGTTTTCACTTCTTGATAAGTGGGATCACAGAAGAGGGAGCTGGAATTTTCGGTGAAAGTGCATCTTAACTTATCATCACGCAGAATGCTAACTTGGCCACATTGTAATGCCGTTCCTTCGTGGCCGTGGTTGGCAGTTCACAAAAGGTCAGCCACACTCTCAGGCTGGAAGGTATTTTTGTCAAATAAACCAGATCTGACGGACCTTTGAGGGAGACACTTATTTGATTTAAGAAAATATTCTTTTGTTTATATAGTATGTCTTAGTGCAGAGCGATTGGGAAAGATTAATTTAAAAACTTCACTGAATGATGGGTAATTATTATTATTACTTTTTAGCAGTTTTGACTATAATTAATATCTAGTCCTTAAAGTCTCATGAACAACTTGTTTGGTCTTGAACAGTCTATTTTCTTTACTTAGTACTTCACCATCCAGATTGCTAGTAGGGACCTTTTCCCCAAAAGCCAAACGGTCGCCACTTGCTTGCTTCAATGCTGCATGGCCCTCCACTTTGAAATGTTGTGGACTTAATTTAATTTTGGTCTAACTTTATAAGTGAGAGTTTTCATTTTTTTCCTTGCACATTTCCGTAGCTTTGCCAAGGCCTGTAATTTACAACTTCTGGGAACTGTTGCAAGCATCAAATATGGCCCTTGTATATGCCTTTCTTGGGATCTCAGCATGGCAGGAACTTTTTCTATATAATATCCAAAATGAACCAGGAGTTAAGGTGTGTGATTCTTTTAGGTGGACCACATACCCGTGAATAGCCTTGCTGACGTCGTCCATGGACTTATCGATTCGCTCAAAGAAGGAATTCCACTGGATGGCCGGTAAGCGGTTTGTGTTTTCGGCACTTGTTTTTTTTTACTTGCAACTGATAGTAGATGCTGTTTGTTAAATTTTGAGCATATGTGGATGCCAATAAATAGGGAGTTAAAAATAAACATCTATTGCATACTTCTCTTGTTAGTGAGCGCATTGGTAATGATGTAGGTTTAGAAAGAGTTATATACGTAAAGACAGGGGACGGGACAACACAACTTTCAACAAACAAATGACTTATTGCCGGACACTTCCAGCTCCACTCTAGGAGAGGGAAAGTTAAAAGGAGGGGGAAGGAGTAGGAGGGGTCAAGACAAGTCCCCGGGAGAAAAAGCTGGGGGAAAGTAGCGCAGAGACAGTGGGAAGGAGAGGAAGGGAGGAGGCATCCCGATTTCCTTCTCAGGAGCAAGGACCACTCGCCCGGCCCGCCAAGGTCGTCAACTCCGGTCTCATGAATGTCGCCTCTCTCTCCGACAGAGACAACAAGGCCGAGGAAATGTTCTTCGGCATCTCTTTTATGGCGTACGCCTCCACGATCTCGCGCCCATAGCGGTTCTTGTGGGCCCCCAGAACACGCGCGGACGGGAACTCGGGGGCGCATGGAGCGCAAAGCTTGAGGTGATGGACCATGGGGTGTTGGGAGTCCTCGTCGTTTTTTTCTATTTCTCTTTCATGCTCGTGCAGGCGGTCGTTGAGGCAGCGGCCCGTCTGCCCGATGTACTCTGCCCCGCACGAGAAGGGCACGGAATACACCCGTCCGACCGCGCAGGAAACAAAGGGGGCCGTGTGCCTCTTGGCGCAGCCGATCTTGGGAGGAGGGGGGGAATTAACCAGACGGCACATGGCGCTCAACTTAAAGGGGCACGAAAACGCAACGTCCATGTCGAAGCGTCGAGCCACGGTTTTAGTCTGTGGGCGGTGTTGTGGAAACAGGGGATGGTTGTGTACCTTTGCTGGGCAGGCTTCCGAGCGGCGGCTTTTTCAATTATTAGTTTTCTGAGCGTGGAGGCCAGCAGGTCGCGCGGGTAGCCAGCGTTTGTGAGCCGGCTGAGCTGTCCCTCCAGGCTAGATGGGGAGAGGTGCTGGCAGGACTTTGTGCAGGTGGAGGAGATGAGACTTTTTGCGATGCCTGCTTTTACTGTCTTTGAGTGGTGGCTTGAGAAAGGCAGTACGGTTTCTGCGACCGCTGCTGGAAGCGCCAGCAAGTGCCTCCCTGGGTGGCTACGAGGCATACATCCAGGAATTGGAGACCCTCGGCCGAGGGGTCCTCCCTGGTGAAGCTCAGGCCATTTGCGTTTCCTGTGAAGGCCTTCTGGATGGTGGCGGTGGGCGTGCCAGAGTCGTGGAGCACCAGATTGTCGTCCACATATCTGTAGACCTGTGTTCCTGGGGCGACGCTGTCCAGTTGCTCCTTCACGGCCTGATCTACGAAGGAAAGGTAGACCTCGCTGAGCGCAGGCGCCAGGCAGGACCCTATGCAGACACCCGATTTTTGTAGGTGTATTTTCCCGTCATGCTCCACCATAGTTAACCGAAGATATACTCTGATTAATTGCAGGAGCGCGCCGAGGGGAATGCCGGAAGAATTTTGGAATTTGACGATACCCTGTGTAGTGATGGCCTTTTCTACCGCAAGCCAAGGGAAATTTGAAGTCGAGGCTGTAGTACATGTCGGTGATGTCTAGGGAGAAGAAGGTGGTACCTGGGCCTGATGTGTGAAGAAGCTGGAGAGCTGGGAGGAGTTCCTGAGAGCTGCCCACGCGGAAAGGCTGGTCCGGGTGGACGGCTGCCAGGTGTTTCTGCAGGTAGAGAGCCAGAGGCTTCTGCCAGCATCCATTTTCTGATACAATGCTCCTAAGCGGGATCTCCGGCTTGTGGGTCTTGGCGGTGAAAAACACTTTTAGGTACTGGTTCGCAGGGGTTGACACTCTCGTGAGAAGCGACGAAAGGTTGTTCGACCTGCAGATGTCTTTGACTTCCGATCGGAGGGTGCCGGACGGCCTTTTCTTAACGAGGACAAAGTTTTTCTTGATGGCGAGTTCAGCCCTCTCACCGAAGTTAGACTCGTTCATGACCACAAACTCTCCTGTCTTGTCTGCCTCCAAAAGCCTCAGGTCAGACCCCCTGAGTTCATTCACCACTTGTGGAAATTCTGGTTTAGTTGGGTGGGCTGCTCCATGCATGCACACCAAATGGGAACCAACACCGAGGAACTCCTGTCGGGCACGCTCTGGAATCCTCGACGCAATCTGGTGTACCGCTGCGAGCTGATCCTCCCTTGGCGGTGTGACAGAGGGAGCGAATTTGGGTCCCTTTGAGAGCAGCGCCTCGGCTTGCGGTGAAAGGTTCGAGCCCGAGAGATTTAGCGGAGGCTGAAGGTTGGGACACTAGTTCGCTCGTTTTTCTGTGGATGCAGTTGCAATTACGACCTTCCAAGATGAATCAAGAAGGTCTTATCCTGACTTGGTTAGAAATATGTACGAAGGGTGAACTGTAAAGCGGGCACCGAAGATGACCCTCATGAGACCGGGAAGTGACTTCTGCATGACAAGGATTTCCTGCGAGAGCTCACTGCGTGCTATCGGCATGACTCTGTAGTTGGCAGTCCAGCTGGCAGAGTTGAATCCAAATACCTGGTGGATGGTGGGGTGAGGGATGGTCTTCCTGAGGTAGAGTCCAAGGGATCTCAGGCGCAGGCGGAGGAGATACAGTCTCGAGATGAAGATGGCGGCACGGAGAAAGGGGCCTGGCTGGAAACCCAAAGGTCCGAAGCATGGCGGTTGTGGACGTGACAAACACATAGCTCTCGTAAATAATACACTTGCTAGCGAGCGCGTTGGTAATGATGTAGGTTTAGAAAGAGTTATATACGTAAAGACAGGGGACGGGACAACACATCTTTCAACAAACAAATGATTTATTGCCGGACGCTTCGCCTTCGGAGCTCCACTCTAGGAGAGGGAAAGTTAAAAGGAAAGGGAAGGAGAAGGAGGGGTCAAGACAAGGCCCCGGGAGAAAAAGCTGGGGGAAAGTAGCGCAGAGACAGCGGGAAGGAGAGGAATGGAGCAGACATCCTCCCTTCCTCTTGAAAAAGCCGCCGCTCGGAAGCCTGCCCGGCAAAGGTAGACAACCATACCCTATTTCCACAACACCGCCCGCAGACTAAAAGCAGTGGCTCGACGCTTCGACATGGACGTTGCGTTTTCGTGCCCCTTTAAGTTGAGTGCCATGTGCCGTCTGGTTAATTCCCCCCCTCCTTCCAAGATCAGCTGCGCCAAAAGGCACGCGGCCCCCTTTGTTTCCTGCGCGGTCGGACGGGTGTATTCCGTGCCCTTCTCGTGTGGGGCAGAGTACATCGGGCAGACGGGCCGCTGCCTCAACGACCGCCTGCGCGAGCATGAAAGAGAAATAGAAAAAAACGACGAGGACTCCCAACACGCCATGGTCCATCACCTCAAGGTTTGCGCTCCATGCGCCCCCGAGTTCCCGTCTGCGCGTGTTCTGGGGGCCCACAAGAACCACTATGGGCGCGAGATCGTGGAGGCATACGCCATAAAAGAGATGCCGAAGAACATTTCCTCAGCCTCGTTGTCTCTGTCGGAGAGAGAGACATGACATTCATGAGACCGGAGTTGACGACCTTGGCGGGCCGGGCGAGTGGTCCTTGCTCCTGAGAAGGAAATCGGGATGCCTCCTCCCTTCCTCTCCTTCCCGCTGTCTCTGCGCTACTTTCCCCCAGCTTTTTCTCCCAGGGACTTGTCTTGACCCCTCCTTCTTCTTCCCCTCCTTTTAACTTTCCCTCTCCTAGAGTGGAGCTCTGAAGGCGAAGCGTCTGGCAATAAATCATTTGTTTGTTGAAAGTTGTGTTGTCCCGTTCTCTGTCTTTACGTATATAACTCTTTCTTAACCTACATACTTCTGTAGAACAAAATCTTTTTTTTTGTCAAAATAAAAAAAATGGTGCTGATTGTTTATTTGGCACTTACTTTGGTTAAACACTGGTAATTAAGGGCAGCCAGGGCAATTGGTATTCAAATAATGACATGAGTTCACCAAAATATGTCTTAATCAGTGGGACCCTAATATTTTCGTTCTATTATTATCAACTAACTGTGATGATCCACAGTCTAATGTCCACAAATAGATGCATGGTGATTTTTAGTTTTGCAAGAAAAGGGTTCAGCTGGGTACCTAGCCATAAACAGAATTAACTTTATTTTAATTATTTACTTGCATTGAAACTTTAGAGTAGAGCAGGGATGGCCAGACAGACATCTGCAAAGTGCCAAAAAGAGACAAACATTTTAAGTGAAAAGCCGCAATTAAAAAAGGGTGTGTTTTTATTTTTTTTTATCAGTTGGTGGATACGGCGGATTGCACTCGTAAAGCTTTTGCTCATTATGTTCTTTTATTATGCGTCCCCATTTGTGAGTCACTTGGAGTCTGGCTTGAACTTGGAGGGAATATGGAGGGCATAGCCCTTGTCTAGGGGACCTTGTCTGCAACAAAGAACATTTTCTTAACCGCGAGACAAAAGTGCATGCATGGTCACTTACCTGCTTGGTCTGATGTGCAAATGGTGACAAAGCTTCCAAAATGCAAGCTGTCTTTTATACTGTAGGTCTGTTGCACTTGACGTCACTACCGGGCACGCTACTTAGCGGCATGTTCAAAAACTATAAAACCCAACGTCGATAAACCCTCTGCGTCACTGACACCTGAGCATCATCCGAGTCCTTCAATGGAAAGGAGGAAAGCAGGTGGAATGGAGGAGAGGGGTGACCAATGCATTGATTACCCCTCTCCTCCTTTCCACCTGCTTTCCTTCTTGCCACACGGCACATGCACCCTTGCAACCAATCTCTGTCCACCATTGAAAATTGCAATCGCTCCCCTTGGTCTGAGAATGGACCCTTTCATCAATCTAAGCTCTCTAAGGGGCCATTTTCGTTTAGCCGCTCCACTCTGAGTAAGCTGCTTTAAATTTGCAATAACGAGTAGTTCTGGAAAAAAAATACTTTCTCGCACACCCAAATTTTGTCACGCCTGTAGTGGATCACTGTATGAAAGCACCGGTCATTCTTTATTGATCTCTAACAACAGAACTTACAGATAGGCGTTTTTTTGTTTTTTGAAAACAATGCATTTGCAAGCGGAAAAGAGCTAGTTTGAGTGCCTTTACTTGATGGCACTGCTCGTGGTGCTGAAGTTTGACATTGATGGGGGTATTGAAAAGTTACTTTGAGAAAAGAAAAAGGAATGAGAATGATGTTGTTTTGGAGATGGTTGCAGATATGGAAGTTTGAGAAGTTGATTGAGTGTAGAGAGCCTAAGGTGCTTACATTAACAAAAAACGCTGTCAGTGAGATGACATGTCACCACAATCTATGGGTAACTGGCTCATTCCGAGGGGGTTCAAAATTCTGACACACTTCCTGGTTGCCAGACTGCCTGCGGTGCTGGCTAGATTGGCTGCTCTTAGCCCCCTTTTCGATGCTAGCACCGTGCGCAGTCTGGTACCAAGCTCTTCCATAGCGTTGCGGAGAAGTTCCATGACCAGTAGCATATTGAAGGACTGGCGTCGTCTTTGGTGTTGGTGAAAGGCAGAAGTGCTCATTCGACAAAAGAACTCAAGAAGTACAATCGGGATGTGTTTGTGGTGCCTTAAACCCAAGAATTCACAATTTTTTTCCTTAGAAAGCACACGACAGCGCTTGTGGCCATTTTGACCTTGACAAGCCGACTTCTCGCCTTAAGTCCAAATAAAGACCGGTATGCGTAAAAATCTAGCACCAGCCGATGCTCCTTTATGTTCCCGATTAGCTTGGCTGGCGCAGTCAACCACGACGCAAAAGAACTCGAGCGATCTGGAAAACACTGCCTCTGGCACATAGAAAGACGTAGCAGACATAAGACGAAAACAAATGCCACCGACATGGATTCCGGCAGAGGTTTAGAGCTGAAAGCAGCGTTGCATCATGGTCTCATGCAAGCACCCTATGGGGAGTATTCACTGGTGGTCATGGCTGGTGGCGCATAATGACAGCAAGCGTTTGCCAGATTCCTTTCGCGCCATAAAATATAGTTGTTCATGGCAGATGATAAGCGGCTTTACCCACAGCTTGTGCTGATGACAGGTGCTCCTATATCTCTTTCCTTCTGACCTTGCGAGAATACTTGTACCAGGGAGCTGCGAGCCATACTTGTACCTGCGGAGAGCTGCATCTAGCTCGCAAGCCGCAGTTTTGTCCCTTCTGCTTTAGAGCGTATGCCTAATTTCTTTCTGAAAAATTAGAAATCTCGTGGTCAAGCAAGTGATTTATATGGTCAAATTGATTGCACAATAAAACAAATTGCCCTGTGCAACAGCATAGAGCATTAGAAACATTTCTTCCTTTTGTTGTCTGCTGCTTTCTGATCACATATTTTAATATTATACATATGTACTATGTATTCTGTGTTTGAATCCTGGATTATTCACTAGCATACCGCACTGGCAATCAGGAGACCCAGGTTTGGATCCTGGCTGAGCCAATTATTGTCTTTCTGGCAGTTTTCGAATTTTCGTTTTTATTTTCACTTTATCAGTGCAGTTCTGTTGGCATCTTCCTATAAATGCATGTTTATCCTTCTAGGCAGTGCAGCCACTCTAATCTGTTCCTGGCTCGTGTTTATCTCGCTGTCTCGAGCAGTCTTCTTCTTTCTCTGCTACAGCAGCCACAACAGTTCATTCATCTACATCAGTGGTTCCCAAATAGGGGTCCGCGGACCCCAGGAGGTCCGCGAAGACACTTCTGGGGTCCGCGAGACCCTCAACAAAATTTTTTCTTTTTATTTTAGTTGGCACGTTTTGTGTAGTTTGAAGTGCGAGTGTGCCACGTATTGATGAACTGACCAGAATGAAGTGATGTCGCACCTTTGTTTTATGTTTTTCTGCTACGTAGCAACAAAAGGCACCTGTTTCATGCTCCAGATGTGTTAGCTTACTAACGTCCCCCCCTCCCCCCCCCGCTGGACGGGGTCCCCCATCACTGCCAGCGGTCCGCAAGGGATCCCCGACACATCCATGGCTGGGAACCACTGATCTACATATTTGGACTACCTATGTGTGCTGTAAAAGTGGAGCCTTATCAATACATTTTTCAAGGGGCCATAATAAAAAAAAATACTTAAACAGTGAAAATGTAGCAGCTGATGACATTTTTGGGGTCCTATAAATGATACAGGAATCAACCCTCGTGCAGCAATTTATATTTGTACATAATTTCACGGCTTTGGAAAAATATCATATTTATTTAAATACTGGTCAACTTTTTCTCTCTGAACCTTTATCTAGAATTAGTGGTCAACCTATATTTGTAACCAAGGAAATGTTTTCTTAAATTTATTAAGAGAGAGAGAGAGAAGGCTTGCCAAAATTTATTAAAAGGATAGTAAGAATCTTTATGGCCCAAGTAAAACTGGGTTAAAAAAAATCCAATAAGACCAAAAGCTGTAGCACATGACTAAGCAGCACAAGTTGAGAGCATAAACAAATAAACTATATGAGCATTAATACAGGAAACAGGAAACAAAATTGACTATTAATCACCACAAGGCTACATCACACACATACAAACTATGATCAAAGGGAATGTCGTATGTAGACTTACACTTCTCAGAATTCTTGACAGTAGAAGTATAAACAGCCAAAATAAAGAAACAATTATGCTAGTTAGCAAGGCAATGTCATCCTATGAGAGCGTGGAAAATTTCTGATCAAGACTGGTGATAACTGTTAACATCTGATTGCTCTACTTACTGCCAGCTCCTGGTGAGGTCCCGGTATCGATATCCGGACCAGGCAGATTTTTTAGCGGCCACCGGTTGTCCAGAGGGTGCAAGTTCGCTCCACTTTAAGTGGAAACCAATTTATTCTTATGTAAATCTTCACCGTGGGGACTCCCCCTAAAAATCACCATATGTCAAATCAAACTAACCCAGATTCTCCCCACCGTCAGTTGCTGCTCCTTGCACACCGATACAAAGCGGTGAAGCTTGACGTGTGCACGCCAGGTGTGTTCCGCATTTATGAACTTTAAACTGCAGAAGTAAAACTAGTGGAACCATGCAACCAAGCACAGCAAGTCATGCGTGTATGCTGGAAAGGAAAACGGAAAAATGAATGTACTGTAACGAAAACCTCTGTCTTTTCCAAGCCTATACTCCGTTTCGCCTTATGATGTACCCCAATGGACGCCACGAGCCGTTTTAGCCAATCCAGTGCTCCATGCGTTCTATGTGACTTTACGCTTCGAGCTACGGATTGCCTCTGGTGGCTTGTGGCGTCCACCAAACTGAAGCGAACTTAAAACCGGAACTCAATCGTTATTTTTAGCTGAATCGGAACTGAGCTAACCGGCAGCATGGCCATATTCTTGGAACTGAAACATAAAAAAATGTATGTTAACCGGTTCGAAAACGGTTACGTTTTGAAGCCGGTTACTGTTATATGCATGCCTTAGAACCAAAAGAAACGTTAAAAAGTCAGAAAATAAGTTTTAAATTGCAACTTTGGGTGCCAAATCTGACTACCGTAAAATACTGGGCAAGCGCCCACTCAAAATTTAGAGATATTCTCGAATAAATGGGGGATGGGCGCTTCTCCGGTCATGAATTTTACATATCAGTGTACTGTGCATATTTTCTCAGATCTTACAAATTTGGGAGTGGGCGCTTAATGTGGAATGGGTGGATACGCGGTATTCTATGGTAGGGGAGTAGAAAATTTTGGTGCATGCGGTAATACCCTTCTGTAGCCAAATCTGAAAGAAGTGCCGACGCCATATTCGTGGCTAACATTGTCGTGTGCTGTACATGTACTAATACACTAATGTCAGCTCAGTAGCATAGTGTACTACGAGTCGCATGAAAAGGAGCACCAAATAGTCGGTCAGATTGTCGGTACCTGTTTTTACCAGAGGCTCGGCAAAATAATAGTGGGTGTACATTTGACGGCATTCTTTGGTCATGCCTCAAGTCGGAAACCTCTCTATACGCCTGCATCTTTGCAGTGGTGGAACCGGGGGGTTGATTTCTTTGGTACTGTCCTCTGCCAGGTGGCTGGAGATGCTGCCACAGCTGCTGACTACGATTGCAGCCAGTGAGACAGTGGCTGCCAGAGGCGACACATTGTCTGGCGTCCAGTTCAAGAAGCTCATTGTCGAGAGCCTCTGCTCGTGCGCCTGGGAGCCCAAATGGGCCACACCTCTCGCCCGGATCCTCAGGTCTCTTGCTCTACCTCGCTTGGTGCACACGTCTGCTGACATTGTCGGTACTTTGGGATGAGTGTTTTCTGGCCAGAACCCGATTTCGCGTCATGACTGTCGGGACGAGGCTGTCGGAAATAAGGCGTTTAATTTGGGTTAAAGGTAAGATACATTAGCAGTGAGCCCGCACGTCAGTTGGCGTGCATCCATCGTGTCAGCGTTCCAAGCACGAGACCCTTGCACTCAGTCCTCACGCTGGCTTCCTTGTCGTCTGCCCTGTGGCACCCTCTTCGTACTGTGGCTCTCACGACTGTAACTATTCCTATGGAAAGTGGAAGAATTCATGCCTAATTTCTTCTCGAATAAGGTATATGATGTATAGTAGCTAAGAGCTGCATTATTTTTTATAGATTCCAAAGGAGACCATTATCACCAAGAAACAAATACTACCGTATTTACCCGAAAATAAGTCGACCCCTATTTATTGAACCTACCGAGAATTAAAAAAAGTAATTCAAGTGCAAGTCAACCTTTTTTTTTTTTTTTTTTTTTAGGAATAGGGGAAAGTATGGGCAAAAGAAAGGACCACTTTTATTTAAAGCACTCCGGCTAAATCGCAGGGCGATGCCGAAAACTTAAACGTCCTCAGAACTTCGGGACATGTCGTTGTCGTCAGAAGCTTCGTCAGCTTGGTAGGCATCTTTGCAAATTTGCAACCATACCTCACTGACACCATTGTGAAATGACGACAAGAAGGTGGAGACGGGCGAAGTGACAAAAGACCAAAAATCAAAGACGCTAGCACCGCCGCGAGTCGCCGCAAGCAACAAGCTAAAGTAACCTCCGTTTTTTTTTTTTTTTTTTTTTGTGCACATTTGCGAGGGAGAGGAATGGAGGGCAAGGTGCATCGCGCATTGCGTTCCTCTCCCTTCCCTTCCCCCTTGCCCAGCGAGGGAAACGCTACAGGTGCGATGGTGGCGAAACCCGACACCCAAGGGATGTGCACAAGTGGCGGGCACGGCGGAGGGGGCTATCGGTTGCTGCTGTTTCGGCTGTTTTCGTGCACCAAAAGCTTTTTGAAACAAGAAGCGGCGCAGCTCTACGGCAACGCCAACTTGGTGATTCGATAGCTCCATGCCCTCGGTAGGGTTGCAGAATTTGGTCGCGAATGTAGGTTGAAATTCTGTGGTCACGATTATAGGTTGACCCTTAAGTTTTGACAACATTTCCGGAAAAAAGAGGTAGACTTATATTCAAATAAATACGGTAAACACTTGCAATACATTGTGGCCGCTGGCCAGAGCTGCAATGTAGGATGGATGATGACGAACATAATTGCTTTTTAAGAAATTGAGAAAAAGTTTGTTCACAAAGGCAAATAAAAGGCTCGAGGTACACCTAAGTACTTCTTATGAGTTATGAATGGGAAAGCATGCACGCTGCTCTTCGCTCCCTTCTTTAATCTGCGGCGTACAACGCGCTGACCTTGGGCGTGGAACGGTGGAGCCGCTGCCTCGCGGACACGCAGCGCCATCGGGTGAGCGATCGTTCATGCTGTCGTGTGCCTTGTGGCGCGAGGAAGGAACAGACAGCAACGTCGTTCCCAGCAGAACAAACTCCTTGGTTTATTCCATGCGCCATATATATTGCCACGCGCCGTACAACCGATAAGAGGCGAGCGAATGCGGGCATGCGCACAGGTCGGTTAGTATGACAAATCAGTGATGACACAACAGTGTGACAACACACTCAGGATGACACCACACAAACTGTCGCACAGCGGCCAATGGGAGCCTCGTCGACATGCGGCAGCCAATGGAACCGAAGCCGAAAATCCATCAGCTTAACTCGGCTCCTATTGGGATCGCAGAAACTAGGTGCCGTTTTCGTGCTTCAAACTGATGATGTCGGCTCGCTCCATGGGACAGTTAATGCTTTCGCATTAATATTTGGGGTTACTGAAGGGTGCCAGCACCTGTAAGAAGTGAGGTCCTTCATATTCTTCTGATGATTGTTTGTAGCTCCCACAACATTGACAGATAACTACCGTGAAATTCCGAGCAAGCGCCCCCATCCACGCAAGTCAAAATTACCAGCAAAGTGGGAGGGGGCGCTATTTTGAACGGCACCAAAATTCAAGATGGCGACGACAAAAGTTTTCTGCCAGAAAAAAGAAAAAGCGCAGTGCACAGGGATTTAATATTTTATTTATCTGTGGGAACATTTACTTTATTAGGCCAAAGATTTGTCACTGCTATGTTAATCACTTTCAAAACCACCAAAAGACACCTCATAGTCGGTCCAAGAAAATTTTGCAGCATTCTGCGATGTTTTTCAACTGCATGCCGTTGGCTATTTTAACAGCCTCTTCAGAAAGAAGCCGGTTGCTAACGGCTCGTCCTGCACTTTTTTTGTGCTCCAGGTATTCAAAGAGCGCGTCGTCCGCGTATTTACTGAACACTGATGCACCGTTACTAAGGTTTTGTCTAAGTTTGGCTTTCCTGTAGTTTTGCTGTAGCAAATTGTCAAAATTCTTGTCCCATTCCCGTATCCGGTCAAGCTTGAAGTGTCGAGACGTCTGGTGCACGTTTTTCCCGTTATCACGATACCATTGGACGACCTCGATTTTCTTTGCCAGTGTCAGAATGCATAGCCCAACTGACACCGCCAGAAGAAAGCGACAATGGCGTGTGGCGACTGGGCTGATCGGGCTGCAAAGTAGGATTGGATTGGATTGGATTCTTGGGCTGGACTTGGCAGGTCAGTGTTGCCTGGGTGCGGTCAGCGCGGTGGTGATACGGGTGCGGAGCGGGGAGGGGGGTGCCGGAACGGCGCGGAAATGTGAAATAGTGAAGTTGGCGGGGGGGGAGGTGAATGGGTGAAGGGAGGAGGAGGAGGAGAGAGGGTAGGGGGGGGGCGGGCCTCTTGCTCGGGTGGGGGCGCTTGCTCGGAATTTTACGGTATATGTTACCCTGGTCAGTCTCCAAACTTGTTGCATCATTTTCCCATGCATAAAAATAAAATGCGGTCCCCATGTACTGTATTTTCCAGGCTATAAGTCACACCCTTGTATAAGTTGCACATCCGTATATTGAGCCGTTTTTGAGGAAAAGTTGGTATATAAGCCTCACGTTTGTATAGGTCGCCCGTCTTTGCTCGGTTCACGCAATGAGTTTTTTTTGTTTACGCGCATTGGTATTGTGAAATTGAAGTTTCGCATAATCGGCTAGATCGCAGGTACCGTTTGACATGCAACTTTGGCGTTTCGGCTCGCAAGGAATGCCCCTAGCTTGGCGCTGTCTGGCGGGAGCAATCAAGTATTTCGCAGCAAAAGGACGTAAAACGCGCAAAATGAGGAGGTGGTTGGCTTTATTCGAGCGAACGCATGCCGAGTGAAGAAAAGTTTAACTAGCCAGCTTTGAACCACTAGGCCCGGCCTAGGACAAGTCCCGGAGACGATGCAAGCATCGATGTGCAGGCAGATGGATAAATCTGGACATACTTCTTTCAGGAGCTCTAAAAGAGCGGCTAGGCACAATCCTTCCTTTTACATGCAGCAACACGGCTGAAGCATGGCAGAGAAAAACTGCTCATAAAAAGGAAACTAAGAAAGGCGTGAGAAAATATTCTGCAATATGTGTATACCAGCCCACTTACCTTTCAGTGTTACTGGACTGAAGCAAAAGAATACGGAACCATGGCTAAATTGGGCAACGTTGATCACATGCTGTAAAAGCTTTATTCTCACTGTCTTGCCTATGCAGATTGAGCTGCTTCGGGGAAGCCATAAAATTTCTTGCTTTCCGAGTCACTTATGAAAAGTGTTGAAGCGTGCGGCGACAGCAGTGCCTCCTGGAAGCGGCAACACCACCCATGGCTTCATAGTTAGGGTGCTGTGCAAAAAACGGCACACGGCGCAATAAAAAGTGGCGTCGCACCGTGAATTTAAAAAGAAAATGCATATACTGTAAACGACTTCTTTTTTGCGGGCTTCAATATTTTGCAATTTAGGTCAAAGCTGAAGTTTTGGAATAATTTGCGTGTTCTAATTTTCTTGACGTGGTGGAATCTCAATATAGATTTCAATGTGTTTTGATTTTACCTAAATCGTTCACGGAACCTATTTTTTTGCACACTGTAGGCGATTCGCGAAATTCATGAAAATTAGGTTCTTGCCAAAATTATGTCGTTTACAGTAAGTCGCATCCAGGGATGGGCAGTATTTCAAATACAAGTATTTGAAATATGTATTTCAAATACTTTGTGTATTTTGCATTTGTATTTAATTACAAATTGGGTATTGTATTTGACGTGTGTATTTAGATACTAAAATCTGGGTATTTCAAATACAATTGTAATTAAATACAATTTTTTGAAATTTATGATCACTGTCCAGAGTAGGAAGAAAATTATGTTCCGCACCGAATGCAGTGTCTCTCAATCAAGCACAAGCGTTTAGTGACTTTGTGATTACGGTGCTATACTCCGTTTCACCTTATGTTGTACCGCAGAGAAGGCTAGAAGCGCGAGCTCATAGTGTTGGGAGCTGCTCTTAACGCACGAGAGCTTGTGCCGCCGACATGTGCCCTAGAGCAAGGAGCTCGCGCTTGTAGCCTTTCCTGCAGTACATCATAAGGTGAAACAGAGTATAGTCCAGGGCAAAAATAGTGACGAAATCGACGTTCGCAGGCAGACTGGCTAAATAAGTGCCTGTGACAACTTGTGATACTTTCCAGCCTGATTTCCATCCATATCTTTGCCTGGAACATTCTAAATGCGCGGGTCGTCTAGATTTTCGTAACTGGTGTGAGCTGCAACAATAAAAAATTCTCTAGCTAGTGCTGCGCGTCTTGGTCGTCTCGGTTCTTTGTTGGTCTATACCAAAATGTATTCGACAAAAAAAGCTGCTTGAAGCTCTGTACTTTTTTCACCTATTACGTCCAAGCTGATTACATTTTTTTTTAATTACATTTCTATTACGTTACTAGAGCCTCGCACACTAACTCCCGAGTGTGCGATGTAAAATTAAATTGAGATGCCCAGAAACCCGTTACAGGTGCCCTGAAGTCGCTGACGCAAATTTTGAGGAATGTATTTGGAAAAGCTAGTATTTGGAGGAGACCAAATACATTTGGTTGTATTTGTATCTTGTACTTAAATGCTTTTTTGGAAGTGTAATTAGATTTGTAATTAAATACATTTTTGACGAAGTATTTTGTATTTGTATTTCGATACATATTTGCATGTATTTTGCCCGTCCCTGGTCGCATCCTTGTATAAGACTCGACTTATACACTGACAAATACAGTACCTAGTAATCTTGATCTGGGAACTAGAAGAAAACAAAGCGGCTTGTCTAGTTTTAATGCTCCACCAGGTAATGGATCAAGAGAGCAGCATTAAAAAGGATTATTACTTTTTAAGAAACCGCACAAAGCATGTGACGCCTGGTGTTAATAAAAACCCAAGACCTTAGTGAGCAAAAAAAAGAAAGACAAAGGCAGAAGTAATAATAATAATAATAATATTTTATTTCCATTACAAGTAATGGTGGAGCCAAGAAAAAAAAAGGTGTTGCAACGCAGCTTGACAAGTAGCGTGGCTTTTTTTTACATATGCAGAACTGATTTTCACGTAATGTTGACGTCAAACGTCTTTCCTTTCGGTCAGTTGGAGGGCGCTTTGTAAAACCGCATGTAATGAAAACATGTACTGTCAAGACCGGTTATAACGAAGTCGGTTATTACGAAATAGCGGCCGCAGCAAAGCGATCACGATTTCCCATTCCCTTTCGCACTTCGTTATAACCGAAGTCGGTTATAACGAAATAGCGGATATAGTGAAGTGATTTCCGATTCCCATTGACTTCATTAAAACCGGTCTCGACAGTAACGCTCATCTCACTGATATCTTTGGAACCGTACTACCCATGCGTCTTAATTTGGTATGGTTGTGTAGAGCAGGGATTCTCAAACTTTCTGGTCTCACGGAACCCCAGGAAGCCTCAAAAACTACCGCGGAACCCTCCCCCCCCCCCCCCCCCCCCCCTCTATATTTGCCGACCGAGAAGCAACAGATGCACAATTGTAGGCAATTTTGCTTGTGTTGCTTCCCATATATCCCCACCATATGAATCGCGATGTCAGTACAAAGTGAGATGAAGGCACTTTGCATGGTCCTGCCGCGCATTCTGCGGCAGGGGAGGGGGGGGGGGGGGGGGGTTGCAATTTGGGTGTTCGCGAAACCCATGAGACCAGCTTGTGGAACCCCTGTGTTCCCCGGAACCCAGTTTGAGAACCTTTGGTGTAGAGGAAAGAAGTCATTACTTGATCACGCATCTGTCGCATGTGCAGATGGTGCCATTGTCGTGCCACGCATGGCACAGCCTGAGCTAAATTTAGCTTCGTGCGCGGCATTCACGGAGACATAGCTCGGCTGTATGTTTGTCGATCTGAGTGGGAGGGGTCGTGTTTGAGGGAGCTCACTCTGCCACAGTAAGTATAGTCCATTGAACTCAAACTGGTGCTCATTAGGAGTTACAAGTGGGGTTCCGTGTTTTCTAATAAATCCGATAAACTCCGAAAACACTCGCCGGTAAAATTTTAGCCAATTCAGATTTGTCTGAAAGTCTCCGAATATTGAAGTCACAATGGCAAAATAAAAAAATTAAAAAGGCAGTATTTTACAAATAAGGTTTGTCAGAGCACAGGGCCAGTGGTTTGAGTAAAGGCCAATTACTCACATACTCGGCTGCTGACCGAGTGTGTTTGTAGGGGGGATTGGTGGCCAAGTATGTTGGCACACCACTGCTCTAGGAGCAAAAGCTAGTGTTGCAGAGCCCAGGGATCCTGAGCTCAATTCCTGCCTTTGTCGATATCAGTAATGGCGGGTATTGTGCCAGAGTGTGAGATGTAATCGCCACTGCGTGATGCATGAAAAGACCCATATATTAGCATTTATACTGCACCGGCCAAATGGCCTCTCTATGGCATTGAACCAGTGTTGTTAAATCTCAAGGGCAGGTGAACCTCGCTGTAAAACATTCACAGCATTTTTAATGCGAGAGCATTAACTGTCCCATGGAGCAAACCGGCGTCATCAGCTTTTGAAGCCGTGCCAAACGGCACCTTCCCCTGTCCCAGTAGAGCGAAGCCTGTCGTCTGTACCAGAAATCTGATGGCTATGCTCCCACTGGCTCTCGTGCGGCATAGTTCCAGAAAATGCCACCAGAAAAGCCCTCTCCATGGCATTGCGGTGCACACAGCGGCCCGGCCGCTGGCAAGAAGGAGCAGCTGGCCGCAGAGCCTGGCAGAGCCCACACGGGCAAACTTTGGAGAGGCTGTACGACCGAGCTCAGCGCGGCGCAGCCACTTCAGGAGAGCACGCGCTCGGCTGTCGGCCACTACCTCGGCAGTAGCAAAACGTGGCTGCTCACGCCAGTACGCTGCAGACGAAATAAGGAAGTGGAAGAACGAGATTTGCACTTTCGGATTCACAACTCATAAGAAGTGCTTATATGTCCTCAGTTTCTTTTTTTTTTTTTTATCTTTAAGATATTAAATTGTGCGATGTGAAAGTTGATTTCTCCTCCTTTTTCCTGTCAAGAAACATATAATAACGGTGGTGTACCGCATTTCAGCGAAATCCCATTAGATTCATCGGAGCTCGAGTTTGCGGTGCCAAAAATGATGCGGGTTCTTCCAGACCTGGAGTTGGCAGAAGTTCCACCGCTCGTCTACCAACTTTTACTCTTTGCAAACCAGGTAATGGTCATGTTTGTCTTTAGGAGAAACTCAATAATTTTGGCTCCAAAGTTGTCATTTCGGCAAATAGTAGTAGGCTGCGATTTGCTGTACCGTAATAATACAAAAGCTGTTTTTTTTTTTATTAACCTTTAATAATTTGGAGAAAAAAGACAAAAAGACGAGGTAAAAAATGTTTGTGGTGACCGTCGGTCACCACATGTAATGCGTATTTCAGAAACAGTGCAAAGTTTCATGGAGGACGGACAGACGTTCATGATGACGGGGTTAAGGAAGAACGTCTGACAACTCGCTGTCTTGTGGAACGTGTGATGGAATGACAGAGCGGTAACCTTCCTTGAGGAGGGCGTCCAAAAGCCTGTGCCTTATTATAAGTAACTAAAGCAGGGAACCTGTGGAGGGTGAAAGTAGGCGTCGCTAGGCGCTCCACAGGCACACCATGCGGCATTATCTGTATGATCTGTATCGAGCAGGTCCAAACGCCGTGCCGCTGCAAGAATGGGATGTAGGGACACCAGCACCGGTTGCTATGAATACTGCCGCACAGTGCCCGTTTTCATTGCTCATGTGTTCCCTGCTTAAATCTGTGCATCGATTGCGTGCAGAAGTAGCTACAGTATGTATCTAACTTCTGCGTACATTAAAACATTTTTTATCATTTTTTTTTTTTTTTTTCACCCAGTTAAAAGGTGGTTGAAAAAAAAAACAGCCCTCATAGTTACATCCCATTCATTTATGGATACTGCCGCGCAGTGCCCATTTTCATTGCTCATGTGTTCCCTGCTTAAATCTGTGCAGTGATTGCATGCAGAAGTAGCTACAGAATGTATCTAACTTCTGCGTACATCAGAACATTTTTTATCACTTTTTTTTACCCACTTCAAAGGTGGTTGAGAAAAACAGCCCTCGTAGCTACATCCCATTCATTTATTCTTTTTTCTTTTTCTTTCTTTTATAGCATACATTTTATTTCTTCCACTTTCCACCTACCCTGAAGCTAACGTACCTTTCAGAGGAGCATTCTTACCTCTACAACTCCTAATACTGTCATCCTGCCATCCACGAACACCATTTCTCTGTAAACACCTTTGGGGTGCTTACAATCATTCCCACTTGCTTTAATTTGCGAGCCATTGGGTGCAATACCGCAGATCTCTGTCTGTCATGCACTCCACTTGAATAACACTTTTATTGTTGAGTTTGTCGTGCTCAGGGGGTGGCAATGTGAGCTGGTGGAGCAGTGTTCAGTCCAGAAGGGTAAAGATGCTATGCTGGGGTCCCCGGCTGCTTTAAGCTTTAGAAGGAAGGTTGGAATAAACTTCCCCGTTCCATATCGTCGCAGTGCAGTATACTCCATTCACCCGTAAGCTGACAGTACCGTAAAGTTCCGAAAGAACGCCCACCCAAAATGGAGAGATAAATTGTGAAAATCATGGGGTGGGCTATCTTTGGGGACGCCAGAGCAAAACCTTATCAAAAATTAATGATAAACACCCTGGCACCGGCTACAAACGACGCGACGTGGGAACTGATACCGCAGGTTGCGGACACCGCAAATCCGCGTTTCACAATGCAATAAACATGTGGGAATTCGTTATAAACTCCTGTGTCACTGGTAAGGATACCGCAGGTTGTGGACGTAGCAGATTCGAGTTTCACGGTGCGAAAGACCCGCGCAAACCCTCCGAGAACTCACACCTCACGGTAACGAATACAGCGAATCATGGACGCAGCAGATGCAAGTTTTACAGTGCAATAAACACGTGGGGACCTGCTACAAACTTGCCTGTCATGGGAACCGATATTGCGTGCAGATCGCGGCCAAAAATGCATGAATCCGCTACAAACTCGTATGTTTTGGGTACAAAGACCGCAGGTCATGAACGCAGTTGAATCGTATTTCAAGGTGCAATATACACTTGGGACCAACTCGCGTGGAATTGAGATCTTGCGCGCAGATCGCGGACAAGAACGCGGGAATCCACTACAAACTTTATGTCACGGGAATGGATACTACAGATTGCGGAGGCAGCAGATTCGCATTTCACGGTGCAACATGCACGCGGGAGAATGCGTGTGTTACGGGAGCCGATATCACACGTGCACATCGCGGACAAAAGCGCGGGAACCCGCCATGAACTCGCTTGTCGGACGCAAGTTCATTGGCGTGGTTGATGCGATTCCTGTCGCACATCGCGTGACGTCCGACGGGAATCGGGGGTGGGCGATGTTTTGGAATTTTTATGTTACAGATATTTAGTCAAAAAAACAGGATGGGCGATCTCTCGGAAGCGGGCGTTCTTTCGGAACTTTACGGTAGGTTGGAAGCTACATGCTCATGGGACCAGTCGTTCACCCATCTTTCACCACGTGACCGTGCTCCCGCCCATACCCACGCACAGAGGGTGGAGTCGGGTGACAAAACGGTGGGGTTGATTTGTCCGGTGAGTGCATAGCTCCCATTGCACTGTGCTATAGCTTATGAATGCAGCATAGTAGGTTCCCTTCCCCAGCATTCTGAAGGCACCCAGGCAACATTTTACCCCCTTTGGCTAGCGCTCTGCTGTCTTGGCTCACATTGTCGCTGACTGTATGCTCTATTATCGATGCTCAGGAGGCTCAAGTGTAGCACAATCATATAGCACCTTTTTTCAACGGATGTTGACCGAGGTCAAGAAGCGGGATAAGACATTAGTTGAGGGACCTCTTGTTTCTGGCCAGCTTTCTGCCAAACAAAACAATTGCTGTTGGTCCCCTTTTTTCAACTTTCAGGAAGGCATCGAGGTCATCTTGGAGACAGTGATAAAGTTCTTTGCCCAGAAGGAGAAGGACTTGCAATGTAATGGGTGTGTATCGTTAATGTTTAACTCCATAAGCAGTCTTGTTGAGCTTTCTCTTGACTTTCGAGTCATTCTGGAAATGCTCAATCGGAGCCTTCCCTCATTCCAGTGCTTCTGCCCCTGGCGCCAAAGAAAACCTGGAGCAGACCGAGGCTACTGTCACCCTCCACGTTGTATTTGCTGCACGACAGAACCTCGTCATCACCCGTACCATCGTCAAAATGCTCAAGGCAACTATATACATTCTTTTATTGGTTACCAGCTGTTCTATTTTTAGCGTGGAATGTGCTTAAGAGCTGTGATCCTAGAGGATAGTGTGACAGAACACGACGAAAAGCTGTAATAGATTGTGCAGCATGGATTTCAGGGAAAACAAAGAACACATAATCGAGAAGAATTAAATTCCGAACGTTTTCCAACAAGAATCGAAACCAAAACCCCAAGATTTTGAGCCTGACTCACTACCACTGTGCCAAGAGAAGAGACGTGTGAGGTGGTAGTTGCTTTACTACAGTCAAACCCGATTACAACAAACTCTGGTACAGGGAATTAACCCCTAATCGAACATGCAAAAAAGTTTTATCAGTTGCATGCAAAATATACTTCGCACAACATACTTCACAATGGATATATAAAATTTCCAGCGCCTACAACCGCCAGCAAACACGCAATCTCCAGCACTTCCGGCATTCAACTTCCTTGTAGTGCAGACGAAGGTTCTTCCTTGCCCGGCATGAAGCAGCCACTTAGTTACGTTTAGTCACGCTCTAGCACTGCAGCGCTCTATAAGGTTTCATATGTTGTAACAACCGTGGCATTTTTCAGCTAATCAACTTCGCTGTTACCGGTGCTTTTGGAACAGACCGAATTTGGGCGCGCATGCAGTCAATGCATTGCAGACCGAGCCTCGGCATTGTAAACTTTATTTCCCTAGGCCTCCTGCAATACAACTTAACATTTGTTCTGCAATCTGGTGCGGTTCATGGTTCAAGATGACGACGAAGCAGTGGCACGCTCTTCAGCTCTCGGACAGAGTGGACATCATTACTGGATAATATACGGCAAAAAAACACTGTCAAAACGAAGGAAGATCTAGACAGATGCGGCGTAACTTTCAACTGAATAATTTATTTGGGAAAATGTAGAAATAAAAATAGAAAAAACACGTGCTGGTGGAGCACTGTAAGATAAGGTTTAAACACTCTCTAGGAAATCAGCGTAACTGGTTTCGCATATACCGTAATATCCCGAGTCATCGCCCATCCCCGAGTCATCGTCCACCCTACTTTTTGGGCGAATATCAATTTCCAAGAAAACACCGAGTGATCGCTCTCCCCTACAAATGCCCCAACACAGACTCCGCGATTTGCAAACATTCATCCTACCCGAATGACATGGCCGCGAACCTTAAAGGGACGCTGACACCCCCCAAGATATTTTTTTATGTTTGTCCAGGCGATTTAATGTGGTATCAGAAGACCACCCAATCAATATTTTGCTGCAGCGTCGCATATATTTTTAATAAAGTAAAAAAAATGCAACTGCTCGAAAACGAAACTGGATTGGGGAGGAAGAAGAAATGTAGAGGAGGAAGGAGTTTCTGGAAATCACGTGGCTACACCCGACTGTCTTTTTTTGTTTTTTTCTGGTTGTGCGATGCAGACGAAAGATTTGCACGTCACATTAAAAACGCAAAAGTCAAGCACTGACGTTTGTGTGTTTTTCAAGCTCTTATCAGTTTGGGTTCGTAAGACGAGCGATGTCTTCAAACCAGGAGAAGGGGCAATGACTCGGTGACGTCTTCGTGCAAATCAGCTTGGTGGTCGGGCATGTCGTATGGAATAAATCCTAATTGTTTTTATCGGTGAACAATTTCTCTTTCGAAGCTAGACAGATTTGCCGGTACTGCCAACAACAGTTCTGAAGTAGAGGTCTGCAAACGAGATTGGACAGAGCACAAACAGCAATGCATCACGAGATGAGAACACTAGCGAGACAACTGAGATGACCTTCGGGAAATGGGAGAGAGCAGAAAGTAAAGTACCTGCTGGAACGGCGACAGGCCCAGATGACTAAAGAATGAGACTAGTTAAGCCGTTAGGAACAAAAAGCAAATTAAAGACAGGCAACTGATCAAATAATAATGGGGGGGGGGGGGGGGGGGGGGGGGAGAGGTACTCAATGATAGGAGACTAAACAAATTGAGATTGCTATATAAAGGCGAGGGAAATGAGGATAGCGTAACATCATTCCACCCAATAACAGTAACTTCGGTCCTGTAGAGACTAACGATGCAGGTAGTAAAAAGAATGGAAGAATGGGCCGAAAACATTTTAGGTGAGCTGAAAAACGGGTTCCGAAGAGAGAAGATTAGATGATAACTTATTCATCATCACTCAATGTATAGAGGTGGCACAGACGAGAAAAAAGCCATTATGGATAGCATTTCTATACTTTAATGTGGCATACGACAATGTGAGTCAGGAAAATCTTTGGGTACAGCTGAGACAGTATGATTTAGATGCACACTTGATTAGACTTTTACAACAGGTATACACAAATAATAAGGTTGCTATAACATAGGAAGCAGAAATTACAGAACCGGCAGAAATAAAAAGAGGACTCAGGCAGGGTTCTCCCCTATCACCTCTATTTTTTATGATATACCTGAGTAGAATGGAAAAAAAATTTGAAGAATGCAATTAAGGTTTTGATGTCATATATGGAGAGAGGGGTAAAAGTGAACCAAGTTATACCAGGAATGTTTTACGCAGACAACATCGTTCTGTTAGCAGATAGCCAGGATAGGTTACTGGAGCTGATTAAGATCTGTGGAGAAGAAGGCGACCCTCTGGGCCTGAAATTCAGTTGTGACAAGTCGAGAATAGGGGCTTATAACGATGAGGAGGGAGGACCCGCTGAAAATTCAAGACGCTATAATAGAACACGTAGAGAAATATAAATACCTAGGAATGAGGGAAAACATTACTTGGAAGAACAGAAAGAAAATATACTAAAGAAAGGAAAAAGGAATGCAGCAGTTATGAAGAATAGGGCACTATGGAATATGAAGTTCTTAAGGGAATTGGAAAGGAGTCATGGTACCAGGGTTGTCTTTTGGCAATGCGGTGTTATGCATAAAATCGGAGGTCCAGTCAAGCTGTGGGCAGACTGGCACTGGGGGTGCATGGGAATGCACCAAATGAAGGAGTGCAGGGAGACATGGGCTGGGCATCTTTCGAGGCTAGAGAGGCGATGAGTAAGTTGAAATCTGAACAAAGGCTAGATACAGTTGAGGATATATGATGTGCGAGAAAGGTATATAAGCATCTGTACATGAAAAGTTTGAACACTAAATGAAGAAACTGAACCGGAAAACTAAAATTCAAATACCAACAGTCAAGTGCGGGGGCAGAACAGACTACCTCTGCAAAAAAAGGAAATAAAAGAAGCTGGGAGAAAGATGTGGGTGGAAAGAATGCAGGGAAAATCAGCTTTAATTATGCATAGGAGACAAAAACAGGAAATCAGGAAGGAACATTGGTACAAGAATTCACGGGGGCACTCAATGGTTATTCGAGACAAGAACAGGAGTATTGAGGGCTAGGACATACAGTGAAACCCGTTTAGAACGAACCCACATACAGCGAATTATTGTCGATATCAAACTCACAAAAATTTTAAATAAAAATGCATGAAAAAAATACTTTTTATAACGAACAACATACTGGCTATATCAAACTTTTTCCCCCCTAGGAGGTTTCCAAAAACGCGCAAACAATCGTCTTCTAGCCTGTGCCCTCCCCTCCTCCCCCACCCCTCCCCAAAAAAAAAAGTAGGAAAAAAAGAAAATTTTAAATGCTCAAGCTGCCAACAAACTTGAGCGAAGAGAAGCGTTTCAGAAGGGGAGATAAGCTAAAAAGAACAAACTCTGCACGCATGCAGAGAAAAAAAAAAAAAAATCTTTCCAGCGCTTTGTAACAAGGTGGAAGCGAAGATGTGACAAAGAGAGGCTCTCGTCTTGCAACGAACGCATCGTGAAAGTTCGTTGTAAATTGTTTTTGCTATATCGAACTACTTGCTATATCGAACTGATCATAGCATTTCCTGCTGTTCATTATAAACGGGTTTGACTGTATAGGACAAAGTATGAGGAAATCAATGTGCGGTGTGGCGTATGCCAAGGGGAAGACGAGACAATAGAACATGTGGTGTTGGTGCACAGGGCTTGGTCCCGCCCTCCCGGAGGGTGCAACGAATTTGGCCGGAGCCCGTGGGTTTGCAGATGAGAATGGAAGAATGGATAAGTGCATTTTAATAACAAAGAGGAGATTGGAAGAGTGGTGGAAATTATCTAGGGACAATTGAATGACGTACAACTGACTGGCACAACTGGGGACAGGCGGTACAGCAATATCCTACACCGCCTGGTAATAGTTACGAAATTGCAGAGGGTAAGCAAATTGGCAAAGGAAAGAAAGCATACTTTTGGTTCTTAACTTCTAGGCTAGGTGGCGTAAGCTACTGCCCAATATAAAGGGTACAGCCGTAGCATCCATCCATCCCACGCCCGTCAGTCACCGCAATTGCTTAGTCTGCTTCATTCAGTCGTCCAGTCCGCGACTCCCACGATACGACACAATGTTGAGAATTACGTGGAGAATGCACAGAGTGCTTCCGGATCTCTCTGTAACTTTTTTTTTTTCTTCCAATCAATGTATTTGCAGCTTTTTAAAAACCAGGAAAAAATCGGTATCATATTTTTCTCTTTTTTTTTTAATATTGAGTGTGTTTTGATGATCCATGACTTCGATTATATTTGGTATGTATGTCTAAACCATAGAAAACGGCATATGACCACGGAAAAGAGAGTGAGCGCACCTGAAGCTAGCCAGTTCTCTATCGGCGGTTTTTCGGGCGGAAAGAAAACAAATTTTGAGCTGCATATTGTGTTTTAGGTAGTTGGGGTCTCATATGTCATGTACAAATAAAAACCTTGGCAAGCGTAACTACCCTGTCAGTGCTCCTTTAAAGTTGCAGGAAGTTTGTGACAAAGTAAAAAGAAGGAGAGAACGACACTTCGTGTTGCTTACGCATTTCCTCCCCGATTTCTGCGACCCCGAAGTCGGAGTACATGTGTACGAAAGGAAAACGATGGAGGTAACTGAATGGAACTTTGTTTTGCTTACAAAAACGTTTGTTCGACGAAAAAAAAAAGAAAAAAGAGTCA